TATATCAGTGTGTTATACACCATCGTCAGAATCCTATAGTAACTACAATCAAGATGGTGCGCCCTTACCTTTGACTTTGTATCAATCTACAGAATTATCTTCATAGTCCTTGACCAGGGTCAAGGAGCACCATAAGCATACCCACCTTGATCATCCAGGCAAATCAATCAAGATATACTGATATATTGAGTTTCTGGACTTTATCCATCATCCTGGTTTTTAAGATAACAAATTTATTTGTTATCTTAAAAACCAGGACGATGGATAAAGTCCAGAAACCCAATATATCAGTGTGTTATACACCATCGTCAGAATCCTATAGTAACTACAATCAAGATGGTGCGCCCTTACCTTTGACTTTGTATCAATCTACAGAATTATCTTCATAGTCCTTGACCAGGGTCAAGGAGCACCATAAGCATACCCACCTTGATCATCCAGGCAAATCAATCAAGATATACTGATATATTGAGTTTCTGGACTTTATCCATCATCCTGGTTTTTAAGATAACATATTTATTTGTTATCTTAAAAACCAGGACGATGGATAAAGTCCAGAAACCCAATATATCAGTGTGTTATACACCATCGTCAGAATCCTATAGTAACTACAATCAAGATGGTGCGCCCTTACCTTTGACTTTGTATCAATCTACAGAATTATCTTCATAGTGTGCATCCTGTTGTGTATTCAAACATATATAGACTTTTATATCTGCTACATGTTTTGATCACATAGGAACATCATCAGGCAGTTAATATAGGAATACATCTAGTCATTGAATTACTAATATGGATCCATACTACTGCAACGTATCATACTACGTAGGTAATTCAATAAGTAAGTTACAAATGGATATAGAACTTAAACAAATAAGAGTACTGATTTGAAAAATGCTTTTATTTCCCAACATAATCTCCCTGTACACTGAGGCACTTGTCCCAACGTTTGAAAAGCCCCTGAAAACCAGCAGCATAAAATTCTTTGTGCTGCTGTCAGAACCAGGCAGTGACTTCCCTTTCTACAGCTTCATCATCGGGAAAATATTCAGCTGAAAGATGATGTTTAAGAGGGCCGAACAATTGGAAGTCGCTTGGAGCAAGGTCGGGTCTAAACAGAAGATGCTTGAGGACTTCCCACTTGAAATTTCGCAGCATCTCATTTGTCTTGTTGACAGTATGGGGACGCACATTGTCATGCAAGAGCAACACGCCTTTCTTGAGGAGTCCTGGTCGCTTTTGTTGAATGGTCTTATGAAGTTTCCAAGCGACTTCCATTTGCTCGGCCCTCTTAAATGCCATCTTTTGGCTGAACATTTTCCTGACGAAGCTGTAGAATGGGAAGTCACCGCCTGGTTCTGACAGCAGCCCAAACAATTTTATGCTGCTGGTTTTCAGGGGCTTGTGAAACGATGGGGCAAGTGCCTCGATGTACAGGGAGATTATGTTGAGAAATAAACGCATTTTTCAAATCAGTACTCTTATTTGTTTCAGTTCTATATCCATTTGTAACTTACTTATTGACTTACCCTCATATATGATAAGGGAATTTGCCTCACATTACATAATAAGTATTATAATTAAGTATGCAAAATATAGAATATATGCATGTATACACATGTATCTAGGATATATACAAGTATGTTGATTATTTGTGAAGAATATCACAAAATATTAAAATATTTAAAATTATTAAGGTTAAAGGTTATTAAAGTATATAGTCCAAGCTTAATTCCAAGGTTCTAATGCCACAGTGTAGTATTAAGCATAGTATTGTCTAATTCGTGGATCCTTGTTAAAGTGTCCATGTTGTAAAACAAGTCATAAAGCCCAGGGGTAAGTGTAGATGTATATAGGTCTATTATGATGTGTAACACTAACAGTATGCATATTTCACCGATGTGAGTTGTGTTATTTTGCGGTCATTAATATGGCATATGGGGTTCTTAGCCTGGGCATATATATACCAGATATATACTACACTGTGCATTGGTTCAATTAAAATACTTATTATGTACCTTGTGGCAACTTCTGTTATCATATAGTATAACACTTTGCAGTAGTATGGATCCATGTTAATAATTCAATGATGAGACATATTCCTATATTAACTGCTTGTTGATGGTCCTATGTAACCGAAACATGTAGCAGAAATGAAGGTTTAATTATAAAACATTAAATCTAGTGTACCTTTTTGTTCAGGTGATGGTTTAACCTAACTATATACATCTACAGAACACCGGTATCCTTTCCACAAAATTCCGATATGCGGACTGCATGATGAAAGAGGAGGCTGAGATTTATGTCTGTCTCAGCAGCATGAACAGAGAGGATGACTTCTGCCTAAGTAAATTATTGAAGTCTCTCACCTTTCCCATGACAGAACATAGGAAGCCTCCTGCTTAGGATTTCTTGTGTGGGGTTCTCTACCATGGCGATTGGTCTTGGCGTACACTGCCGTTTTCACGGAACTGATGCTGCTTTTATCAGGACACCAATTTGCCCTGTGGGTCCTCCTTCCTCTTCTTCTATTCATCCCCCTTCCATATCCTGCATTTGGCCCCAGTTGGAGTCCTGTCTGTCTTCCCACCAATGTTAATGTGTTCCTTTGTTTTTACTTGATCCTATCATCTTTCTCGATATTTGAACTTGGTTCCAGATAGTGCCATATCTGTCCTCCCATGTGTGCTCTGCCCACTGCTGTTGTAACTCTCCAGGACTACGTACACCTCTCACTGGTCACTCATGCTTCTCTCTCTCACCTCTCTCTTGTGTTTAGAGTGGTCCATATTTCTTCACTCTTGTTCTTACACTGACTGTCTCTGTGGTCTAGTGGTCAGAGTTCCTGCCTACAGATCCAGAGGTGCTACCAGATTTTCTGAGAAGTAGTGGGTCTGGAACGGGTCCACTCAGCCCTGTGAGGATATTTGAGGAACTGTTTCAAGAAAATAGTGGTGCCAGTCTATGAAACCAAAATTAACGGCCGTGGGGATCCATTGCGCTGACCATGCGACATCCTCTATCCACAGAAGGTTGGCTGACAAGCGGCAGTCCCTCAGTCAGTATAGTTCACTTGCTGACTCAAGCCACGGAGTTTGTTTTTGTTTTTTGTCCTTGCACTTAGTTTCTGCAGGGCTCCTATCCATGCCTATATGCATACCATTTTCTTAATGGTCAGCTTACTCTTCTAGCTTGATTGCCTTACTCTTCAGCCACCTTTAACCGTGAAGATGGAGGAAGTACATTTTTTTCGAAACATGAGCAAACCAGGCTGTACAGAGTCACATCGCAGAAGACAGTACAGCCCACAGATGTAAATGTAATTGTTTTATTAATGTCTTAGAATGACGATGATGCAGAACGTATGGAACGACGACGCAACGCTCAGATTGAGTTACGTCAACGTGATGTCACTCCTCCTGGATCAAGTAAACGGAAATCAGTAGGAGGGTCAGTTGCGGGACTGTCAGCAGCACAGTTAGCTGAACATTATGCTAACTGTATTAAGCTCTCTGCTGAGAATGTAAGTCTGCGTCTGTGCTCAAATAGATATGTATTATTTGTATAGAACGGTTTAAAATTATGAAGAGTGCCGTCTTCTGGGATGTGGCACCGTCTAGTTCTTGTGTGAACCAGCGTTCCTCCAAAACATCGGTTCACGCAAGATCTACACAGTGCCACATTCCAGAAAACTGCATTATTTGTAGTCACTGCTGTGAAGACCTCAGATCTTACATACATTTAAAATTATTTTGCTAGGGTCCAGTGGTGGGCTGTTTTTTCTTTGATTTTGTTATTTAAGAGTGCTGTCAATATGAAGACTACAGCATCAAAGATGAAATGGTTCATGAATTTGAAGTGGTTAGTGGAAAGAAGATTGGCAGGAGAGACAGAAGCAATCAGAGTAAACCTGCTCCAATTTTGTGATTATGGTAGTGAAGACATCAGATTCCATAAAAGACACGGAGATTCTGTGACTAGTAGGGTGATGGACCCTGCTCCATTTAGTTAGTTAAATGATCGTATTATTATTATTACTATTTATTATGATTTTCATGTTTAGAATTTTCAGTACTATGTCTTACAGTACATAAAAAAGGTAATGTATTCAGTGATGAATTAGAAATGGAATCTACATAATTCAAGTGGCAGCCAATAAAATATTAAAGATTATTATTGCTGCTGTTTAGGTTATTAAGATTGTTCTAAAAAGCACAGTATTTAACAAATATAAGTAAATGAGATATATTGGTGCAATAATTTTTAACAAAGAAACAGCAGCACTGGCTGATGAAATGATTGAACAGGACAAAGCTTGTTGGTACAAAACTAATGCTTATGACTTGTATTCTATGCATGTCCAGTTTTATTCTTGGCTGAGACTCTGACTTCATGACATGTTTTTATGGTTTTTCTCAGTCCCTCTAGGCCAGGGCTGGAATGGTACTGCAAGTTAGGTCATGGCCACTTCCATATCTTTTTTAATTCATTATTCACTTATCGTACTGTTTAGTGCTTTATAGTCTAAGATGCTGATAGCATAATTAAATGAACAAGCACATAGATACCTAAAGCAGGGCTTACTGTTATTGCAACATTTGTGAACTCTCCTTAATATGGAAACATTTGATTTCAGAATGTCATCAAACCCTTATGTTCAAATTATGTTGTAGCTTACTAGCTGTGGGCAAGGATCTACTGTATGGTTTCTATTTTATATTTTATCCAAGATTTGTGTGATATTCAAGTTGGTGTATCTTATCAAATTTGTGATACCTGTGTTTCAGAAAATCAATGCAAGAAATGCCTTTAGTTTACAGCTGATTGACTACATGGCAGTGATGTTGAAGAAACAAGACACCAAAATGGATAACTTCCAGGTAAAACATTTGTCTCATTTAGCGCTCTCTTTGTGCTTTTGTGGCCATTTTGGACCAGTTACTGTTGGGTTTGTGGTGTACATGTCTTTCAGATGCATTGTGTTACATCTTCTGCAGAGAACTGAGATCTTTAATAAGTTAAGTTAAGACAAAAGTGGCAATCATCATCATTCATTCATTCTTTATCCAACAAGGTGTGTCATCTTACGCAAAATCTCCATTCTATGTTCTTTTATCCTCTCATAAACGATCTTTGTTTGCTCCTTCTGTACTCACCTTTATGCATCTTCCTTCCCTTCGCCTACCCACTTTTTTTTTGAGCTCCCCAGCAAGCAATTTATTAAAATGTATTAACTTTCGAAATTATCGAAGGGATCTTACTGTTGTACATGTGTAACACATGTTAATATCACTGTATCTCTATTTAGACCAACCTCTATAGTGTTCATTCTTTTACATTTTGCTTAATCCTCAATAAGACACCCCCTGAAATCATACTCTGGCAGGTACATGGCATACTTTATACACCACTTTAGGTTTATAGAATTACTCATTGGTGTGAATAAACCATGCATTCTTTATTAAAATTCTTATATATCTCGTTGAACTTAAACTGTAGTTATTTCACCATTCATAACAGTAGAACTCGAATACAATTTTTTGAAGATACTTGCAACTGAATTCTTATGCTGTTCAGTGAATGTATGTTTACGAATATGTACGTGACATATGCATGAACATTTTGGTTGCATTTCTTGCATTCTAAAGTTCTGTCCACATATTATTTTGCTCTCATGCCTTCCACACTTATTTTCTCACTAGTTTTCAACATGACCATCTTTCACTCTCATTGGTTTCTCAGTATTTTTTAAAGAATTTTGCCACTTCAGCCTGTAATGACTTTATTTAGTCCTTTTGAATAATGGTCTATCCTGGAATGGTAAAGAAATTGTTATTTGATCCCTACCCTGTACTTAAGCGAAAACAAAACTGCCACTGGATGGCACTGGGTTTTATGAGCTATAGAATAATGTAGCATGTAGACATGTTACTAGGCAGTAGGGCACTGCCAACAGCTGAAGAAATGGACCCAGGGCAATAGTGGGTCCTGGAAGAAGTTGGCTGCTGCCTACAGACAGATGACCCACCGCACAATTCCTGCATAATGTCAGGGACCATGCAGGAACAGTGTTGCAAGAGGAGCCCCTAAAGGACGGATGCTCGAGATGAGACAGTGGACGCACCAGTGAGGCAACAGTGGAATAAGGGGCCGTGATTTAAAGGAGCAGCTGTGTCTGAGGAAGGAGGGGACAGCTGACATTATCTTAAGGAAAACCGTACAGCTGAAGGTCATGAAGCAAATAGTCGGGATTTCCATCAGGTTACAGAAAGTGAGTTACTGGACATTGTGGAGGGGTTAGTTCCCTCCAGAATGAAAGAAGAGACCACTAACAACAGCTTAAGTGCCATGGATGTAGGATCATTGACCACTCTTAGAACTTTTGCCTGCACCGACCGGTGAAAGATGATAGTGATAAAGCTGGACCAGCTGGGACCTTACGAGGTAACCGCTCGGGATGAGCAGCATTAAGGAGGGAGTGGTGGGAGCAGGTGCAGAATAATCTGTACTGAGCCATGGGGAAGAAAGGCCAGACTGATCCCTTAAGGAGGGAGTAATGTAGCTTGTAGTCCCATTACTGTGTAGCAGCCGCAAAACAAATAGGTTCACATGTCAGCGAGTCCACATGCAGCAATAGAGGAGCTGTTGGAAACAATATTTTCTAGGTAGTTTATGCCAAGAGGTTATGTAACAAGGACACCACTCATGCTGCAGTCAGTTGTAAAGGCGTCTGTGAACAGAAGACTGGGAGGTTGGTATGATATGGCTGCCAGCCTGGGAGTTAGTTGAGTCGTGAGCCATTGCTGTAAGAAACTCGTAGCTGAGGCACAGGTATATATCTAGAACCCAGAGTAAGGGGAATGTCTGTTGTTGGAAATTGTTATCAGCAATGGCTAGTGGAGACTGTAATAGACTGAGGGCACTAGTCTATGTGTGATAGTGATTTGTAAAGTGTGGAGATTAGCAATAGCATTATAATTATTTGTAGTTACATTCTGTAAGTGGTTGGTAAATCCAATCTCCCATCCAAACCCCATCCCGTAGTCACTCTATCACATGACAATGTATTGCATATCTTATCAAATGTCTAGCTCTGAAGGTCTGCTGGGTTACTGTTTCCTGAAGTTATTTAGCCATCCTTCTTGTATTCATTTCCTTGTTTGCATGTACTGAAGATTTCCTTTTCTCTTTTAGAGCTGTCACTCTGTATGACCCTTTATCTAAATCTTCTTGAATTATCCTCAAAATTTCTTCACCTGTCACATAATGTGCTCCAAGAAAAATGAGAACATATAGTATTTCCCAATTGTAAGTGTGAAAATCTCGTCCTTTACGTTATTTCATTGAAGTTGACTGTGCTTTTCGTTAGTCATTGCAGTGTGAATATTATTTCTGTTACAATCCATGATATCAAATTTAATAGCCAAAATATGTTATGTGGAAAAACTTACATGCCTGGATAGATGGTGCGTTCATCACATCAAAGACCACTCCCAATGCCATTCATGTCTGTGATGGTTCTCCTGCATTAACAACTGTGACACCTATTTTTTTTATTGCTATTGGGGTGGGACCAAGTCCCTTGTACTACGACCATTTCTGGCCTATTGTACCAGCCCCAGATGATAGGTGACAGTGATTGTGGAGCAGTTGATGGAATAAAGATTGGCAGAGGAAACCGAAGTACTCGGAGAAAACCTGCCCCAGTGCCACTTTGTCCACCACAAATCCCACTTGACCAGACCCGGAATCGAACCCGGGCCGCCGCGGTGGGAAGCCAGCGACTAACCGCTTGAACTATGGTGCAGCCACTGTGACACCTACCTCAGATGACAGTTTGAAAAGACATGCACAAAATACTGAAATGGCAGTGGATGCCAAGCATGTAGTATTGTTGCCACATTGAGCTTGATAAATGTGACCAGTGTGCTTGCTTAAGTGTTTAGGTTTTTGCCTCTACTACATAGAAGCATACACTTTTCTTTGTTCCTGAATAGTGTAGCCTCTGTAACCTTATCACACTCTCTGTTTCAGCATGTAATGTACTGAGTTTTGTGATGCTTGCTTTTCAGTTCTGCCTAGAGACTAGCTGTCCTGAATGAGGTCTTTTTGTGGTTACCTTGGTATCTTCGGGCAAATGCTGGGGTAATAGCTTGAAAGAGATGATGACAGCATCCTTTCAGATCCTTACATCCTTTGTGGTTTCCTTTTGCTTAATACTACATAATTTGTGGAATTAATGAAGTGTTGGCAACTAAGTGTGGGATCTAAACTGATTATTGCTGAATAGTGTTAGATAGAGGGGCATGCAGGGGCGTAGTTGGCTGAGGCACTATGCTACAATCCGGAAGGTTGCGGATTCAAGTCCCGATAAGGTCATTGGATTTTTTTCAATTCACCTAATCCTTCCAGCCGCACTATGGTCCTGGGGTCAACTCAGCCTCTACTAGAAGTGAGTACCAGGAATATTCTTTGGGGTAAAGGGCGGCCGGCACATAGGACTGACAACCTTGCTGCCATCTATGAGCCGATTGTCTAGAAAATGTGGGAACCTCAACATCTCACAACCCTGTGGGCCTCCATGGCCTGTTAACAGAGATACCTTTACTTTACTTTTAGTGTTAGATAGAATTACTGATTTTAGGCTTTTATGGTGGTTAACTGCTGATGTTATTTTAATTCTTAAGTGATTACACTATTTGGTTGAGGGGAGTGTTGCCATTGTATCAGAAGTTCATGCTGCTTCCACCTGCCAGTGTCTGTTCATATATAAGTTCATTCTTCAAAAAACCACTGGGGCAGGGGGATAGAGTGAAGAGTAGGGCTCGGTGGCCATCTGAACCAATAGGGACAATGGCCTGGGAAAGTTGTGCAAGGAAATAATTGACCCTTTTGATGGCTATGTAATGCATCAAAAGACCATCAACAGCTGGTGTTCCCAAGTGCTCACCATCCATAATATAGCATAACTGCCTGTGCTGTAGGTTGACCTACATGGAGAGTGGCAGGGAGGTCACTGTCAGTGGTAAGAGAAGAGAAACTTGAAGAAGGGCATATGTTAAAAGGAAGGTGGGCCAAGAAATGGGTGGTGGGTGGGTTAGGGGGGCAGAGGTGAATGCCCTCTATGCATTTGTGGCCATTCCTAGATTTGGCATGATGTTTATGAGAAGAGTATGCTTGATGATCTTGCAGCCAAGGCATAACTGGCAGCCACCTTGTCTGTTGAAGATCTCTTGTGGGTTGATATCTGGAGCTTCTCAGATATCTCTGCTGGTGTAGTGGAGGCATCTGGTGGATCCTGGATGTGATTCTTAGTTTGTTGGCCAACTGTCCTAGGATTTTTCATGAGTTTCATCTGTGTCCCAAGGCAAATTGGCTTAACACCATAAAATATATATGACCTCAGCTTCCTCTTCTGTAGTAATTCATCACTCACACTGACCCTCATTTTACAGCTGAAATAACCAGTAAGCTGAAACACTCATTGAAAACTTTGAATTATTATTGGCAGGTGGCGAGTTGTACCCTAGATGCCAGCACCAAGATATATGCTTATCGAGTTGATTGTGTGCACACGGATGCTCTTAAGATAGCTGGTGGTCTAACTGCAGGATATCGAAAGAAACATACTGACACTGGAGGGGGAGAAGAGGGAGAAGAAGGGCAAGATGGAAGTGGAGAGGATGGTGAAACAGTCCGTACAAAGAAAAAAAAACGCAAGGTTAATAAGATGTGCAAGTAACTTATTGTGATTAACAGCATGCTGCTTTTGCTTTGTGTATCATTAACAAGTACATAAATTCTATTTGTGATTTTCTGGCATTATTGCAAAATATCTGTTAATATTAGGTGAGTATTTTAGCCCTGTAACTACTAAAATCATGTCTGAGATGTGGCAGTTTTGTTTTGCCAGACAACTGGGTGGTATATGCAACATGGGAGTAATTTGAATGGAAGTTTAAAGGATTCTTACTGCTGCTTATAGGTGGCTCTGGTATGTTGAAAAGGTTACTTTCAGAAATCAAGACGTAAAAATTTGTCACAAAATACCAAAAAAATAAGGGATAAATGAAAGATTTTCTTTTAGCTTACACAGAAGCCTACAGACATGGTTCTAGACACTGAGTTCATTGTTTGTGTTCACATAATATAGAGTATTTGTTTGAAAATATGGTAGTTATCTCGTTTGACCAGTTTGAATTATAGACTGGTTATCATCATCACCACCATCATCATCTTCATCACAGATAAAAGGGGCGCTGTTGAGAATTTTGAATTCTTAAGATGATGAGGAATCAGTAGCAAGCAGATCAACAGTTTGGAGTACACCTACTAACACATGCATCCATGATTGTAAGAATGAATTTTAGCTGTGGTTTAGGCAGGAAAATAAAGAGTATAGTGAAACGTATGTAGGACAACATTCCTTAAAACGTTTTCCAACTTTAAATGTTAAAATAATTTGATTGAAATGTTTTCCTATATGACTCGTGTATGTTGTGATATGGCACATGAGAGCCAGAAGAGGTCTCGCTTAGTAATGGCTGGTAAACAACACGTGACAACTGATTTCCACAGCAACAATGCGCAGTGATAGAGGAACTGTTGGAAACGGTATTGTCTGTTGGATTCAAACTGAGGCTGTATAGCGAGCATGAACTGGACAACTTGACGAGTCACCGTCATGATGCAGTTGCAGCAGGGAATAGGCAGAGTTCAAATTTCCATCATGGGTTAGGTGTAAGACAGTCCCCAGCCAGTAACAACATGAGCAGAAGAGGACAGTGTTGGGATCCATTACCTGGTAGTGGATAGTGAAGACATAGAAGACTTAGCAAGTGTTGTAATGAGAAGCCAAGTGTGTGAATTAGGGTGTTATGTGTATTTGTGATAAGTAAGAGTTTAATAAATCAAATTATCAATCCAAACTGCATATCTGCTCACTAAATACGTCACAATATTGTGGCATGTAGACCTGTTGCTAGGTAATAACCACGAAACAAGCAACTGTACAACAACCATTGCTAACTAACAGCTCTGCAAACAAGCATGTTTCTGTGGCAACAAGAGAACACAGCAATAATGGAAGAGACTTGTTCTACGCTGTCTGTGCCGAGGTGTTATAACCAGGACCAGTTAGCAATTGCAGTCAGTGAGGATCCCTGCATGGAGGCAGGTATGTATACCTCCATCATAGCTCTGCAAATCATAGGAGGCGCTGAAAAGGGAACCCAGTGCCCGGGGTTATAACTGGGCCACCCTGTTCCTGAAGGATATAAATATGGGGACCTGGTCCTCCAGGCTGGTGGAGTCTTGAATCTGATACAGTAAAATATGGTCATGAGCCCCGCAGAACTCAGACTCAGGAATCACTGCGCTGTTGTTGACCAGCAGCAGTTGTAAAAGACAGACCTATTCTCTTGTCAGAGAGGATAGGGACTATGATCCCTTTTCTGGCCAAAGAATCATGCACGATCTTTGATTTGTGGGGTGGGGTATTGTTGTGGAGGAATGACCAGCAACCTTGCTCTCGATATTCAGGTCGAATTCGAAGAATTCTCGCCCACAAACGATTGAGGACTCAGAGATAATAATCAGAATTCACTGTTTGACCTTCTGGCAGAAATTTCCTTGAGAATGATTCCTTTGGAATAGAAGAAAACGTTTAGCAGTGTCTTTACTCGACTCTTTTGCGTGTGCACTTTCTTTGGTTTCGGCTTCTTTGGGCTCAAACATGCTGCACTATGCCGTTTTGTGACACGCTCATATTGAAAACACCATGTTTTGTCACCAGTCACAATCAATTTTGTAAATTTTGTATCACTTTGTGCCGAAATAATGTCTTTGCAGTGTTCCACTCTGGCATGTTTTTCATCGCCTGACAGTGTGTATGGTACAAACCATGCACAGACCTTCCTTTTGCCCAAATCCTCGGTCAAAATTTGATGCACAGTACTTTTTGGTATTCCCAAAAGCTCCTCGATGAGTCTTGCAGAAACACATCTGTCTGATGCAAGGTTTTCGGTCACTTTTTTCATATTTTCTTCAGTGCGACTTGTTCTCGGCTTTGATGCACTTGGAGCGTCTTCTATGTCCTCCCTGCCGTCACGAAATACAGCATATCATTGAAAAATGTTCGAGCGACTCAATCACTACCGTACACATTTTTCACCATTTCATATGTTTCTCCAGCTGTTTTGCCTAAGTTCAAACAAAATTTGATGTTGGCTCTCTGTTCAGCTGCCATTTTCCGACGAGTTATAAACCTGTGAAGACTACTACTGCAGATAGACTGAAGAGATCAGTGTCTAGTGATTGTAAATTGCATAAATCAATAACAGTGTTTTATAATTAATTGAAGTTATGACCTGTAAGTTGATGATAAAACCAATTATCAATCTGAACCATATCTCCAGTCACCCAAACACGCTACAGTATGATTGTTCAGTGAAGATGTTAGTGGATGATTAAGTTCCTGGACCACCGATTAGAGGTTATTGATACTGTTGTACTTGAGAGCAAGGACAGCTCATTCAGTAAAGTGATCAACTATAAATTTGATGAACAGGGTTTGTTTCTTGATGTGGAGCAGGGACTTATTCTTCACCATATCCAAGCTGACTCAGAGCTGCTCAGTCTCCTATAAAAAATATTGTCACGTGTTGGGTATGTCGCGCAACAAATAACTTCACGCTAGTTTTAGATCTAGCAAATTTATTGCACACTCGCTCTTACACTAACACAGTCCACAATTACTGCCTTAGCCAAAGCTTTCATCTTGCATATTCCATTGTCTTCAATGAACACTCTAATACTAGTCACTCTTTCTCTCTGGTTCAACACTGATGAATACTCCTCATTATGTAGCTTCTGCACTGGCAACACAGAAAAGAGTTACGTGATAGCTACCACTGTTGCATGATGTCGTGTTTACCGATTGCCTAGCAATAGTCACTGCACAGACTCCTCTGTTGCGTGATGTCACAGCCTATTGGGGAGGGGTGTTTACAAAGCATTGCGTAGTTACAGGATGAGTGGGGTTATGTGATGTCACTCTCACTTCCTGTTGCACAATCTAAGCATTCACGGAGTTGTCACCTAGCAACGCGCCGATACAATCCGCAACTCTCATGTTGCCCGTGTGCCCCAAGGCCTCTGTGGCTCAACAGTTCCTGCATAGAGCCAATACGCCACAATATATTGATTGATTTCTCCCTGTGGTAAAGCAACCAGGGCATGTAGCTGACTATTCAGATAAATGTAGTTGAATGTGCAACTTTGCTTTGATATACCCTGCATGCTTTCTTGGTGTGTTTGGCATAGTATAGTACTTATATTGTACTTGAAATATTGCATTCATTTCTGTAGCACAAGAACACAGTTGTGACAAATGTGGAGATGCTGAATGGGAAAATAGATGTGCAACCTGTCATTGATCCTGTTCTGCACTCTGCTGGTAATATGGGTGACTGCCAGCCTGGTGACTGTCACTTCCTGACAAGCCTTAAGATTCTAGACAACTGTGCCTATGCCTTATGTTCTGATCTGCCATACTGGGGTAGCAATGGAAAGACTACAAGTTCAGGGGAGTCCAAAGGGCAGCTGCCATTTATTCCAGGTACAGTGTATCATATACTTCTTTTACATAAAGTATGTTATTCATACATATTGTTGGTAGGCTATGAACTGAGTTTGGTCAGTAAAGTGTGAGAGTCTTCCTTAGAGGTATCAGACTTTTATTTTCCTCCCCAAGAATAACACAGTTTTGTCTTCCACATATATAAATATAAATAAATATGTAGTATAAGCTGGAATATATCAGTTGGTATAATAATGAGCTATGGGCTGAATGGCCAGGGATAGATTCCTGGCAGGAGCAAGAAATATTTTTCTTCTCCACAGCATCCAGACTGGCTCTGAGCTAAAATAGCCTCCTGTTCAGTTTGTTCAGAGACTCTTTCTCTGGAGGTAAAGGGGCCTGAGCTTGAAGCTAACTGTTCACCTGCACCTAATGCTGAGATCAAGAATATTGTAGCTCTATCTCCACTCCGACATGCATCTTGGTGATGTGGTGTTTAATTAATTAATCACAGGGACAAATTTGCCAGTACTTTAAATACACATGTATAATATTGTCCTAATATAAAAAGAAAGGTAATATTAAAATGATCAATACGGAAATAAGGTGTGAGGAATATGAACTGGATTGAGCTGCTCGGGATCAAGTGCAGTTACATTTGCTTAGTTTCTTAGTTTGTGTTGATGATGAAGTTAGATAGAGCACTGAATTATGTACAAAAATGATGACATATGGTTACTTTATTAGGTAAGATATTGGAAGTAAATGTTTAATGACTTGTTTGAGCATTTTCCAGGAGAAACTGATGAACTCTGTGAAGCATCCCAGTAATGAGAGGTAATATGCTGGACAATATTTTGTTCAGGTACTTCCTAAACGTGTCTAATGTTATGTCAGCATACTTGGTGGATGAACAGTATGAGGGGGAGTCAGTAAATAGGTCACAGCAGATGCACATGTCCATGTTCAAGGCTGGTTTCAGGAATCAAAATGGCAACCATGATTGAGGAGTGTATTACGAAAGAGCAGCATTCTGTTGTCCATTTTTTTTATGGGCAGAAGGGCTCACTGCAAAGGATATTCATAAAGAAATTTTTTTCTGTTTATGTTGGAAAGTGTTTGTCACATAAAGCAGTTCCAACTTGGTGGCAAAGTTTTGCTGATGGCTGAAGAGGTTGAAACAGAAGTGCAGAAATGGCTGAGACAACAGTCAAAAGATTTCTATGCTGTGGGTTTCGACGCACTGGTAATGTGATGGGACAAGTATATCAATGTTGGTGGAGGATATGTCAAAAAATAAATGTTTTTCCAGGTTCCAATATCACATGTGTTATGTTTGTGACCTATATACTGACTCTCCCTCATATGTCATTATTATTGCCATGATTTAGGGGTGTGACTGTAGAGAGGGTTTGGACTGGAGATCAGATTTATGAATCACTTACACACACCACTCCAAACTTCAAGAAATTACAGTGCTATCACTAATCTACAAATTATCACAGCACCTGCTAAGCTTTTTTTCCAGCCTGCTGTGTCTTCATCAGCCATTCCCTGGCAATAGCTTCTAACATTGGAGATTCTTCAGCTTCACGCACTCAAGTTCTAGTTCACAGCCTCCCTTGCAGAACTCATCTCTCAACTGGTTGCCCCAATTCTCTTCATTATAATTCCTTGGGGCGGACCACATAGGCAACACCCCGTTTTCTCGCTTTGAATGCGCGACTGTTGTCGTGGGAATGTGTTTACTGAGCTGTTTCCCAGAAACGGGTCTGAAATAACCGCCCATCTCACGATCATCGCATAGCAATGACTATACATGCTCCATTCAAGTGATCATTGGGAAACAATGAATAAAGCCACCCTTATACTTAGTTTATATGGGATATTAATTTTAAAATGGAACTTAGAGAAGTGAGGTGTGAGGATGTGGTCTGAATTCAACTGACATGTGGTAGGGTTGAGTGGTAGGCTGTTGTGAATGTAACTCAGAGAATTTCTTGACAAGCTGAATGATGTCAGCTGTTCAAGAAATACTTTGCACTGTGGAGTTAGTTATGCAGAGATAATATATTTTTTTTTAATATTGCAGATGTAACGGACAAAGAGATTTGTGCGGTGTTTGCACAGTTCTCTTTCACAAAGTGGTCTCTAGATGCAGAAGAGGAATCTAGTGAACCTGCTGCACCTTTTCTTCCTACTGATGACGATTTTGCATTTGATGTGAATGCAGTTCCAGAACCTTTACCTACAGAAGAGAATGAGGCTCCTATTGATCATTTTGAAGGTGGGATTTTGTATTTTCAAATTAACAAGAATGCAATGAGATTCTTTAATTATGAGCACAAAAAACATAAGATCTCATGGATGTCATATGACTAGGGTAGGGATGCGCATCCTGCAGTTTCTAATCCTTGAAACATGTCTTCTTTCCCGCATACATGTAACAGATTTGTTCAAAAATAGACCTGTCATATATTTTTAATTTTTAAATAGCTATTTTGCATTTTATTGCTTTTACTAACACAAAGTTTGTGACCCTGGGTTCACACTATCATTTTTCAGTGTTGAAGTACAAAGTAGGGATTTTCCTAGTGCACTTCCACATCTCACAGGAACTGGGACAATGTAATTGGTATAATGACTGGCTACAGGCTGGACAACCAAGGGATTGGAATTCAATTCCCCAGGGGTACAGCGGCGTGGACATGAAGCTGACAATTTATCTTCAACTAGTGCCGAGGTCAAGAAAACCTGCGGATCTATACCTCCACTCCCTCATATGCCTTGTGGTGTAGTGCTTAATTAGTTGAGCACAGGGACAATTTTACCTTTTTTACCTTACTTCCACATCTCACCACCGAGAAGGCAGAAGGTGGACTGTGATGGAAAGTGCTCATAACAAAGGAACAAACTTACAGATGAAATTTGCAATATGAAATAGGAATTGCCTCATCCTAAATCAAATGAAACACAAGCAGTTCCAGATATTGCAGTGATGGTGATTGATTTAGGACTATCCCACATATAAATAATTTTACTTAAGTGTTGTAATTAATTTAATTGCACAAACAGTTAATTATAAACTATATAACTACAATTTACAACTCTGGGAATTGAAACTTCAAAGTCTCCCACAGTGAAATTTTTATTTTTCACTTTCTCTTGTTCTCTGAAAAAGTTTCAGTCTTTTGCCCTTGGGGTAAGGAACTGAAGTTCTGTGCCAAAGATTTAGATTTTTAGTCCAGTCTAATCCTGAATGAATTTTCCATAATGGACAAACTTCTGTTCTGGGATGCTGAGGTAGTGCTCCATTTTGATAAAGTAATTCCTGATCCAGTGTGGGGACATATCCCTTCAGAGGGATGCATTTGTTATATCTATATTGGATGAACGTAATTGGGATGACACTTGAAATGAATATTTCCACTTTTACATATGCTGAATAAAACAGCCAAGTTGATTATATAAATACATACAGAAAAATTGAACTGACTTTAGTTCTTTAAGTGAGCGTGATATTTTTTAATTGCTGCTACAACATATGTGGCAGTCTGCATATAAGCAAATTTGCCATGTTTGGCAAAATAATTGTTCATGTTTATTTCATACATATAATAAAATCCAATATTGGAGAGAGCTTGCAGTACATCATCTGCAGCAAAGAGAAGATGTAATCAGGATAATGCAGCATTGTGAGGTGGAGTGAACTGTTAGCACAGAGAGCCTAGAAAATGATTTAGAAATGATTGTGTAGTTCATGGCTCTGCTATTAGTGTTCTTCAATCTTCAGGTTCTTGCTTTACAATCCCACTGAACTTTAGAAATGCTATAGGAAATCAATTTCAATACTGTCACTTGGGTTCAGAGTTATGACAAATCTTCTCAGATAATACAGGAGATTGGTGTTCTATGAATGCATCTTGGGGGCCTACTTTTTGAAACATATCCAAAGTGGGAAAGGATAGAATGTTGAGATATAAAACTTGCATTGGAAGGAATAAAAATGCAGACAAAATTTTGGTTGGCAAACCTCATAGTAAGACATTGTGACATGATGCCCAAATATCAGAATCTAGAAATCCTCTACTAGGCAGGAGTATGTTGAAGCTCTTCTTTGCAGCCACAAGTACCTGTACAACGGCTGGGGAATATTGCAGACGGCATTTTCTTGTTAGTCCGCAACAAGGCGATATAGAGTGAACTGGTGAACCAGCAGAGGGAACCTGCAATGACAGAATGCCCACAGGAGAGTCTGTAAAGAGACAGCCTGTAACCTAGCAATGAGTGGATGATGACAGAATTCAAAGGGTTCAAGCAAGAGTGGTCTAATGGACTATGAATATCTGTGAATACTTGTAGTGCTGCAGTTGTTTGTAATAAAAATTTAGTGTTCAGTAAATCCACTTTCCAACCCTAATCTTTTTATAATTACATGACAATATTTTTGTTGTTGTTCAAGAAATAGCATGTGAATTTGTTTAAGCTATTTTAACCGCAATGAATTCTGTGATTAATGATTAACATTTGTATTCTATTACAATAGACCTTTTTTGCAGGTGAATAATTATCCTGTAGTTAAGAAAGATCCTACATCATGCAATTAATTAAAAGTAATGATGTCCCTGTGTGTAACTAATTAAGCCCTACACCATGAAGACATATGGGGAGTGGATATATAGATCCATGTTTTCTTGACATTGGCACTAGTTGGAGGTGAGCAGTCACCTTCATGCCTCAGCCACTTTTGTCCCTGGAGAAAGAACCCCCAGTACCCTTTGGAAAGGAGACTGGGTGACCCCCGGAACTGGTCTCGGACAACATGCTGAAAAGAAAATTCTTGACCATACCAGGACTCAAACTCTGAACCCTCTTGTTATCCCCATGCAATTAATTAGTTATGTATTATCTCAGTCTTAAGTAACTTACCATGCTTTTAGTTGTAAGATGCATACTGGTTCATGGAGGAAGAACTTTTTTCCCAAACCACAGTGGTGTATGAAGTGGACTGCAATTTTTGAGGCCTTTTTTTTTTAGGAAAAAGTTGCATCCTATACACCACAGTAGGAAATATGGAGCCTTGCTTTAAACCTAATGCTTTATAGGCATGATGGTAAAGTGTCATGTATTCTAGGGTATGGTATGAAATTCAAGTCAGTAAATTGATGCTCCAGCTGGTTAGTCCCTAGAAAATGAGTCTCTGATAACCACTGAATGGGGGGTTGCATGAGCACAGGTGTCAGTCTGGATGTGGCAGTGAGGGAAAATCTGTTCTGCTGGGAATGAAAGTCTAGTTGTCGAGGCCACAGTCAGTCCACTACTGGAATGCCTGTCACTGTATTTAATGTTATTAAATTGATAGTCTTAAGTGTGACAAATTTTGAGTGGAGTTATTAATTTCTTGCAGTTTCTGGTATAGATGAAGGCATGGATTCAGAAGGTGAAGATACAGGTGCACCCATTGCATGTCGCCCACTTCAGAGAACTGCTGCAAAAGTAGTAGACCTACGTAAACACCTTTCTACAGCACCGAGCGAGTATTCATACTTCAGAGCTGGTGCCCTTGATTTGTGGGCTGGCCCCTCGCACTGGAAATTCAGACCATTTAAAGGTGTAACATATTCCGTTTACTTGCATGAAATCCTGATTGAATGATTCATGTCTGAGACTGCTTAATAGATTTCAAATTTTATTTTGGTTCATGTTGGTTTAGATACGTTACCCATACATGAGGTTCAAGTGGAATATCATCCAGTGTTCTCAAAAATAGCTTATTATAAAATGTTTATACATGTCATCAAGTATAGATTGTGTTAACAGATTTGCTGTGAGTCCTGGATATTTCCAGGATTACCATTCTGTTCTTAAGCGAGTCCTAAAGACTTAACATTATTAATGAACTTGGTCATCAGCATTTTTTCCACAGTATTTTGGAAAGAAACTGTTGTAATGGTTATCTAGTCCTGTCTGTGAAGCATACATAATTGTATCACTATATATATTGTGACATATTTGCGCTATGCAGGACACCCCCTCCCCTGCCAGCGGTGACGTAACACGTTTGGAGCGTTGCCGCTGCTACAGTAACAGGCCAGTCAACGATCCGCCCCCCCCCCCCCGCAGTGATGTAGGAAGGGATGCCGCAGTTGCTACAGAGCAGTAAACAACTCTTGACAGTGTTGCTAGGCAACCTGTAAACACGGCGTCAGGCAACAGCGGTACCTATCACATAACTGTTTTCTGTGTTGTCCATGCTGAGACTAAATAAGGAGCAGCGAACACTGTTCAGTAGTGAGTAACCAGGCAGTTAAAATGTAGCCACTGCCAGAGACAGTTGAATTGGAACAGTCGCCGAGATCAGTTGTAGTGAATGAATCATGAACGTGTGATTAGAGTGATAGTGTGAGAAGATATTGGGAGTGTGTAATACAGTGACACTGGTATAGCTCTCGCGTTATAAATACATGAAGACTACTGAGGATAGAGTGAATAGAGTGTAGGGTTTGTAAATTGTGTAAACCCGCAACAGTGTTATAATTAATTGTATCAAGGCTTGTAGGTTGTTAAATAAACCAATTAACAATCTGAACAGCGTCTTCAGTAGCAAAACACGGTACAATATAATCTAAAAGTCTGTTTGAATTTATTTATTTATTTTTTTTTATTTTATACATTTTGGGTAAAATGGCTGGCTAACAGGGGCTGAGTTGCTCCTCACTACCTTGCAGGTTTTTTTTAAACATTTGTTAATATGATGAATGTTTAATGAAATAAAGGAAAAATTGTTTGACTCTATATGTGTATTTGTTGTATTATTAATTTTTCAATGGAGGATTTGTATCTTCAGTAAATGAACATAAGGGCTAATACGGTCTACAAATCACAGGAAAGTACTTGGAAAATATGTACATTCCATTTCACATTTGTTGCTTTATATGTCTTAATATTTGGCATTTTGGAAAGCTGGCTGGTTAACAGATCTTGAGCTGAATAATACCAATAAAATTTTTCTCAATTCATTCCTTTGTTAACTTCATTGTCGACTTCTTTTCTGTTTGCTATAGTTGTTGCTATGTCTATAAATTTTGAATGTACCATGTAGCTAATCTTGGATTGCATTTGTGATGATTGAAGGTGTGGACAAGCGTCCGGACAGTGGTGCTTCTGCAGGTACAGCTGAAAACGGATCAGAAGTGGCTGTATCCCATAAGAAACAAAAGCAAAAGCAGGAATTGATGGTTCAGTTTGTAAGAGGGCAGAACAGTGGCACATTTACAGTGGAGAGAAATATTCAGGTGCTGAAGTTAACTAAGCGAACACTGCAGAAAGCTTGGAGTGTAGACCGAAATACCCACCCACCTGATGTACATTTTGATGTTAAATCCTTCTCACAGTAAGTTTAACAAATTGTATTACTTCAACAAGCTGCCCAGTAGGTTGATATAGTGATAACATTAAGAAATGATATTTGGGAAAGGTTTTTCTTGGGTTTCCTTAATTTTCCAAGATGAATGCTGGGATAGTGTCTCTAATTAGACTGTGACCATGTCCTTCCAAATCCTTACCTATTCACTATTCGTGATAATTTTTCCATCACATGTGAGAGTGTACCTGTGTACAGATACAATGGCTCTTCAGAAAGCGACCTCCATTTAGTTTGTGCAACTAATATAGGACCTGGGGAGAGCTCACGCATGCAAGATAGTCACATGACTCATTGCCTTATAAACCATAACATAACTTCTCCCCTAGTATATATAAAACTCTCAACACAAATAAGTAATCAAGTCATTACCATATTTGTGTCAGTTGAGTGTACTAACTATGTTAAAATTACGTGACATGTTTTGGGTCACTTGGAGCAATCATCAGGCAATACAGTATTTTAAGCTATTTATTTTTTGTGTTGATGGGTATTCCCTGAAGATTCTCCCCTAGTGTTTGTTCTTGACTCTACAGAATGAATAATGCTGTGCCCTGCGATAGATAATCCTGCCAGCAGCAAAATTTTCACTATTATCCACTTTCTTCACACTAAAAACACGAGTGCTGCAGAAATCCATCGTCAAGTATGTGTGATTTACAGCCAAAATGTAATGGATGAAGGAACTGTAAGACAATGGTGTAGAATGTTCAAAAATGGAAGAACAAATGTTCGCTATGAAGTATGATGTGGTCAGTCATCTGTTGCGAGTGATGATCTTGTTCGAAGTGTTGACCAAAAAATTTGTGAAAGATTTCGCTTCACAATTTCACAACTTTAGGGTGAATTTTCACAAATTGTGCACATTGTTCTTTATGATATTTTAACAGTTAAGCTTGGCTATCACAAGTTTTGCATAAGGTAGATTCATGATAATGCTCATGGGTGTGCATAAAATGCAGAGAATGGCTTCAGCTTTCACTGTTTGATAGCGATACCACAAAGATGGCAATGAATTTCTCAGTCACATCATATGAGTAACAGGTGATGAAATCTGGGTTTCATTTGTGAATGTTGAAATTAAAGAGCAATTAAAGCAGTCAGTGCGCACACATTCACCAAACAAGCTGAAAAAGTTTGAACAAATATCTGCCTTCTGGAAAACTGCTGGTAACTGTTTTCTGGGATAGGAAAGCAATTCTGATGGTGGAATTCATGCAAGAAGGGACCACAATAATGTCACAAACTTATTGTGAAACACTCAAAATACTGCATAGAGCCATGGGATTGCTGACATATGGTGTACTGCTCCTCTATGATAAAATATTTGTCCACATACAGCTGCTCACACTTGAGCACTGCTGGAGCATTTCAGCTGGGAATTGTTTGACCACCTTCTTTACAGGCCTGATCTCTCTTTGAGAGACTGCCACCCATTTACCTACATGAAGAACTGGTTAGGATCACAACACCAATGAGGAGCTGATGGAAGGTGTGAGATTGTGGCTGAGCTCACAGGCAGAAGAATTTTTTTCACTCAGGCATACAAAGAGCTGGTTCCCTTATATGACAAGTGTCTCGATTCTGGTGGTGACTAGGTTGAGAAATAGCTTAAGTATGTACATAATTTTTGTATATAATAAAATTTTGTATTCTCATTGCATGTTTTGTTAACAGCTCACTGGAGTTACTTTCTGAATAGCCCTTGTATAGATGGTTATCATTGCATGATATAACAATAAGTCAGTCCAAATATTCTCTTCATTTTCTTTTTGTAAAAGGAACAGGATCACTAAATAACTTGGAGGCCCAGCATGATGTTACATGATAATAAAATTGTTTACTCTTTATGTCAGAATTAAAATTCCACTTGAAGTAAGTTCAGCTGCTTATCCTAATTGTTCTATTGACCATCAACACAACATTCATAGATGGCAATTTAATAGTAACCACCTAATTGTTTCTTATTTTCTAAAATCGCTCTGGACATGATTTCATTAATTACTGATCATTATGAGGTGAATACTAGTAAATAAAACATATTAATGAACTTCATACTGCTAGCTGCCTTGCAGTTAGAAGTGGATTCAATTCCAGTGAGTTTATTACGTCATGCATATAACATGTAAGTTAAAATAAATAACTGTGTCTAAGGTTTTAAAATATATTAGTGAATTACAGGATATACATGTGGAAGTTATGAAATTTTAATTATCACCCAGAAGAAATAGAGACACAGGTGCAAGAAACTGTATGTGAGTTGGTCCTTCTCTACATATGCCCCCTGCAAGGCCACTCATTTTCCCCAATGATGCATGAACTGCTGGATACCTTGACCATAGAAGGTCTCATTTTGACTGTTTAGGAAGTCCTCCACTGCAGAAATGGTATCATCGTCTTGGAATTGCTTACCACAAAGTAGCTTCTGTAGCCGTGGAAAGAGGAAGAAGTTGCTTGGTACAAGGTCTGGTGAATGTGGTGGATGGGGGAGAATTGCATATCCCAAACTGGCAGCAAGTGTCATCATAACATGAGCAGCATGAGCTGGTGCATTGTTGTGCAGAAGCTTCACAACTTTTCCCAGCATTCTGCATTGCTTTTTCTTGATTTCCTCCTGTAATTTTCTCAGAAGGTTCTGATGGTTCTCGCCAGTGATGGTGACTCCCTTTTGCGCATAGTTGGTCATGATGACACCCACTGATCCCAGAACACACTCAGCATCACCTTTCCTGACGATGACTGGGATTTTGCCTTCTTTGGTGGTGGGGACATCAGTCGTTGTTTGCTTTCCATGCAATACGGACAATTCTTCTTAATGACGGGGCAGCATTACACAATTCATTAATTGCTACACCATGGGCCTCTCTTAAAATCTTCTATATAAAGTAATATCGAATTTCCCTATTGTCTATGGAAACGCACACAAAGAATGTCTAACGACTGATTCAGTGTTTTTGAAAACATCATTAATAATCTTATTATAGTACTTCCAATTTTTAATTTTTATGTAATCTGAACTTTTGTATTTTTACATAAGCAATTTTAAAATTGTACGATTAATAGTGTTATATCCATTTTATGATTGCAGTTAAATGGTAGATTTTTGTTGATATGTATTTGCCTGATGATGGCCGATAGTGGCCGAAACATGTAGCAAAGCCACAGCTGTACGCTGACTTTGATGTTTTACTATTTGCTGTGTTGTGACGGTTCATTAAAGAGTTGTATATTATAGCACAGCAGGATGCATGAAATTAAGATTATAAAAGGTTTTGATTTGTTATAGTTGTTCATACAGAGCAACAGGTAGGGTTATAGTTCTGATCATTCCGGTCTAGTGCTGAGCTGATATGTTTGCAAACTGAATCAGTTCACAGTCCCCAGCTTGTGTAACAAGCAGCCAGAAGGTTTCTTATGGTTTGTCTAAACCTCCATGTGAATTCTGGAATAACATTTCAAATTAGACCATGGCTTTCTCCTTTCAGATCTTAGCAACCCAATATCATGATAATTTTGACAGCTCATTTGATGGGATGTGCCCTCTGCAACTGAAATCAGTAAAGACACAAGCTGAAACTGTCTTCAAGGACTTCTCTGAGGGTATAGATACTTGTAATGTGATAGAAGATAAATTACTGCTTTGTTAACATAGCATATTTTGTAATTAATTTTGTGACTGTACTGTTGTGGAATGTGGTCCCTTACTTTATTGAGGAAATGATGTAAATTATAAATATCTGAAAACAAAATTCTCAGGAAAATATTTGTACCCAAGAAGGATGAAGTAGATGGGCAGTTTAGAGTCTTACACAACATGGGACTTTGTGATTTATTCGTGTCGACTAGTAATTTTAAAACAGAAATTTAGGGCCTTTTGTGGGTTGTATATGTAGCACACTTGGGGAAGACAAATGCATGCAGAAATTTGATGAGAAGACATTCATGGAAAGTGGTCACTTGGAGAAAGACCAAGGAGGAGGTGGGAACATAACATTAAAATGGGTCTTAATGAAATTGGTAGTGAGGATTAGAGGTGGATTGAACTAGGTCAGGAATGTGTTCAGTGATGAACATTGGTAGTAGCATTGATGGCTGGTAACAGGGAGCTACATATTTTTAAACATTTTAAGAATGGCATCATACAGAGGAGAGTATGCTGCAAATACAATCTTTAGTGAAATGAAATTAGTCCATTAGTCCAGGCAAGATCTAAGGTGATAGTGACTATGGTACATCTAGCACTGAGAAAGAATGGATTGCTTTGTCCCTATACAAAGCAGATTTTCTGTTCCTGCCAATGAATTTAATGGGATTACAGCTCTTCTGTGGTCACAGTGAAAGCAGTTCATCGTGTATTCATTAGGATAAAAGTCTTAACTTGTAGAATTTGAAGTTCTTGCAGTAGTGGTTATGAAGATATCTATGTTCTGGGATGTAGTACTATGTAGCCAATGGACTATATGACATTGTAACCCAGAAGATAGAACTCTTCAAGTCTTAATTTCTCGTTAATAATAATAATGTTTCCACTCTTCAAATTTTCAGACTCTTGTTCACTAAATAAGAGCTTTCCCTTGTTGTCCAGTTTCCTCTCACATATGGAGTTGATCCATTACATGCTAAAAGACTGTAAACTGTATTTCTGTGTTATTATAAAAAACAAAGTTTTGTGGTAAATGAAGAATGGCTAATGCTGCATTTGTAAAATATGCAAGAGGATACATGCTTATGACTACTATCCTGCTACATGTTGCACTGCTGTTTCTGTTTTTTGCTGTGAATACTGGGCAGATTGTAGCCAGTTCTCATGTTCTGTCAGGTCATGCTCTCCAGGTTATGGCAGGGGGGAACAGTTTTCTGATAAGAATGCTGCCATGTTTCAGGTTGGTGCTGAGCAAGGCAGCCCATGTGAATGTACATCCTGCCCCATATGAGGATGATGAGCCATCTGGTTATGATTATGAAAATGATAATGATGCATCAGAGTACTGCCCTAATGTTTCTTTAGTAAGTACTCTCAACCCTACATTAAAACTCTGGTAGTGTCTAACACTATACAATGGACCCTGCCTGAGAAGATCCTGTTTGAAATGGTTTCACACCTAAAAAGCTAAAATAATTAGGTCCAAAAATTAATATAAGAATAATATATTTGTGTCCATTTGAAAATGTTTCCCACATAGAAGAACATCCAGCCTAAAAAGAGTGGTTTTAAAAACACATCAAATATCTTATGCATTTAATACATTTTTGTCAGATTGTAATACATATATACAGAAACAAATGAAAGCAAAATACACATATAAATCACACATGTTGCAGTTCGTAGCAGCACACAGTGGTGCTCTCTGAGCGGTAGAAGTTGGGTGTAATAAGTGGTGACTTTCAGACTTCATCTTTCTAGCTGTCAGCACTGTCTTTGTGTTAAAACTGTGCTGAACATGGATCATATATAGCTGTATGCATTGCTACAATAACAAGCATGACCTGTAAGATTTTATCAGTTTCTGAGGAACTAAAGATAATTGAGGTTGAATAGCTCAGCCTATCAGTGCTGACCCTAAATAATATTATGACAAACAAGGAAAACATACTTTATGAATGTATAACTACTCATCCAGGTAGGAAGAACTGAAAAACTTTTGAATATAAGAATACTGAATCAGTGCTCCTAGAATGGTTTAGGCAGATATGGCACAATATGCATTGTAATTCTGATTTAAGGTTTTTCAGGTTGCGGCTTTCCCACATTTAATGCTCGTTCTTTGGAGTCCTGGCAAAGCCATATATACATTTCATAAATTACCCCATTTTAGTATTTCTACCCACATTTGGTGGATGAAAATTCAGTCCATAGATGACGTCTGCACCTTGATTTAGTGTTTGCACTAAACCTGATGGTCATAATTTGTCCAACTCTGGGTTACACACACTGCTGTGTGGCCAAGGTCAGCTTCTGTGTTACTGGCTGATCAGCTAGTGAACAGTACGCCTGAGCGTTTACTTGCTTGTGCATCCAGCAGGAAGGAACCACACATTACTGCATTTACTGCATCCTCTTGGAGGTAGTGTTAATGTGTGTGCAGCATATTATTTACAGTATACGTATTCAAATCTGTGTACTTGCACATAATTGTATAAAGAATACATATAAAAGGTAAGTTGTCCCTGATCTTAACTAATTAAGCACTACACCATGAAGACGTGAGGAAGTGGCTGAATGGACTTCTGCACTAGATGGAGGTGAGTGATCAGTGTTACAGCGCTCGTGCTTTAATGCCAGGGAAAGAGGCCCCCCATACTCATTGGATAGGCATCTGAGTATTGTATGCCTGAATATAGAATTTATGTGACCTTGAGGCAGAAGTGTTTAGCACTTATATGCAGAGTCCTAGTAGTACATGATGAAAAAACATCAGCCAGAACTACAAAATGTTTCATAATCACAGTAAGGGGTGATGTTCTAAGACCACATTTAGCACAGCGTAACAGCTTCAGGGTAAAGTCCACCTAAATTTTTAGCGAATGAAAGATGTCATCACATGAGTCACCTGACTTCCAGTAGACTGCTTCATTGTGTGTTTTGAATGAGTTTAAAATTTTTCTTTGATTGTGCTGGCTGTAATTTAAGCTTAAAATAATTTATTTGTCTAACTTTCAAACTATATGAGATGTGATAACGAATTTCTCACTGAAATCACTGGAAAAAATGACTTCATAAGCTTACCTTGTAACATGAATGTGTTGTATGGAAGCAATTGGATTAGAAGCTGAGGTTTATATTGTACCACTTGAAACTGCCATATGAGAGCAACCTGCTTCACATTCACTACAACAGTAACTACATTCTCTTATTTTCCCTAGTTTTGTGTGCACCACACATTAGGGGAATGATTATTTATGAAAAATATGCTGGTCAAAAATAGTCCGTAAATTGTCTTTCCGACCTTAGCACATGACTTCAGTTGTTTTATCTGCTGATGATACCTGTTGAAGAATTGACTAATATCTAGATGTGTCAATAGATTGTACTATCATATATGTGGTCACTGCTCACATTTCATATTCCCTCACTTTCCCAAGTTATTTGTCTTGAGATGAAATAACATAAAATAGAAAGTTTGTGAAATAATCTCTAAAATTTCCAAGTGCAATGTATCAGTATAGGGCTAGGAGACAGTTAAGAACAAATAGCACGAACGAAGAACGTTTAAGTCTGTGGAAGTTGTATGTATGTTGTAAGTATGTAATTGTGTCATTTTTGTGTTGTACAGAATGATGAGTTGGGAGATGCTGATGATGGTCCAGTTGATGATTTGTTGGCAAGCCAACAGCAGGATGTACATAACAGCTTCACCATGGAAGGTTCTAGAATTATTGAGGCATTTGCCGGAGGCAGTCTGGTGGCTCCTCCAAGCAAGGTTTGTACAGTTCCCCATTGTAACGTAGTTCACAGGTTTTGCACTCTGAGATCTTATCATAATTGGCGAAGGTAAAGGTGAAGTATTTCTGTACTGCATGAAGGCATTAGTGAGAATATAGGTATAAATACATTCTAGACTTCAACACACTATAGAAGTCTTCTTCATGTGCTTGTCAAGGGTATTATGTTTACTGTTTATTGTGTGGTTTTTATTTGGTGGTATGATCATTTATTAATTGATCACAGTGGCACTGCTATACATTGGACACCAAGATGTTTGGCTTTTAGTACAACATGCTTTGAACATTATTTGAACATCAATAGGTATATTTGTTTTTATTTTGCAGTATGGTACACTCTGATCTACATAGCTCTTAAAATTGTTGCTGAAGTTAAAGTTCCTGAATTAAAACATATTGTACTGTAGCATCATATTGTATGTAAGACAATGTTTATTATTATTTAGTCAAAGTAATTCAGGTATAAACACACCATGCATTTGCATTTACCACATGTTTTGACCTATATTGCGGCCATCATCAAGTACATAGAGTTTTATTATCATCATCCTTTCTATCTGCAGTATCTCCCTACTGACTGACCGAGCGACCGCCGCTTCTTGGCGAAGTTTAGTGCCAACTTTTGCGGATAGAGGGTGTCGCGTGGTGAGCGCAACGAATCCCCATGGCCGTTAATTTCGATTTTCTAGACCGGAGCCGCTATTCAGTCGGTATAGTTTGCTTGTGGACTAAAATCATGGAGTTTGTACCTCCCTACACTGGCCAGTGTTTAAACATTGGGAGTGTGTGGAAATTACATAAACAACCTACCTGTACAACACATGGGTGTATGCATGGTTGACGTAGTCAATGCCACGTAAATTCCCAAATTGAACTTAAGACTCAGGCAAGCTAATAAAATGAAGGAAAGTTGTTGAAGTATAATGAGGAGGACAGTACGGCCACACAAATAGGGTGCCAATTATGGAAATGTTGGAAGGATGCTGGCTCAGTGGATGAAGCATAAATACCTTCTGTCACAATCAAGATCTTTCAGGCCAAGGCAAAAAGTGTGTTTGATTACTGAATGCTTTTCCCTCAGACCTGAAAGTGCCATCATTCATTGCCAGTGCATGGTGGTTTGGTTGTTTTTAAGGATACTATAAATTCTGTGACTTTGAATTGACAGATGAGAATTTCCAGTCCACTGAGTTGAAGCCTTTAGCTTCTGCAGGACAGCTGCGCAGTCTGATATTACTCCCGTGTCTTCACCCCTGCCAGCATCCTGTGGGTTATTTCATTATTCTTTTTACAAATTGTAAAATAAATAATACTGATATTAATAAAATATTTCAGAGTAAGCAGTTATTGTTAAGTTTTTGGTTTATGGTTTCATGATTGAATTGCTTGCTCTGTTATACTATGTAAGACTTACCTGTGTTCTCACAGTTTCACTTTATGCCACAATTTCCATGAAAGCATTAGTCCTAGATAATAAGGGATATCTGTACCATTGAACTTCAATGAAACAGGATGCAATACAGCATTATTGAATAACACTCTGGCCACTTTAGCTTGGGAAGAATCTCCCGGTGTCCGCTGAGTAGCAGGCTAAGTGTACATGGCAGTGAAGTGGAAAGAAAATCCTGAATCGAAGAATTTCTGAAACCTTGTCACTACCAAGAGTTCTGTGTTTTTTTTTTCTGCCTACAGCAAGTATTGGTAACCCATATCAAAATGAAACATGTTGACCATTACACTTCATATTAATTGTCAAAGAACAACACAACCATCAAGTGTAACAAACGTTTACTGAAATGTTGAGTCAGTAAAATCACCTTTCATGTTTTAGTCCTATAAGACCATCTTCAGATGCTCATGTAATAAAACAAGGTTGCTTACGTGTACATTTAAAATTATGTCTTAAAATTGTGCTATATGCAGCAACCACAGCAAATATCACAACTTCTTTCTTTGCTTAGAAAAAATATATATAATGTAATTTAAAACTTTTAGGTATAATTTTATATGTACACATAAGCAATTTCCTTTTATTACACAAGCCTCTGAAGATGGTCCTACAGGACTGTAATGTATAAGGTGATTTTACTGACTCAGCAGTAAATGTTTGTTACACTTGATAATTGTCTTGTTCTTTAAAAATTGATGACCAAGTTCATTTTACTAATTTCATAACCAGAGAAACCAAAGAATATATAGTACTAAATAAATTTCACAGTAAGCGAAGATGTGATAGTTGTTTTGAAACCAAGCAGATATGAGTGTAACAACATTCATTCATAAGCGAGTTATAGGAGATGCACACATGTTCCCCTTTCAGTCCATTTCCATTTACATATTTGTATGTATATTCATATCCATAAACAGATATGTATATTTTTCTCCATGCCCTTTTTATTTTTTTTTAATTCCTCTCCATAATTTATATATCCATACTTCTAGACAAGAATTTTTGGAAAAGAATCAAATACAGCTTTTTTATCCGTGATAAAGTCAGAACATGGTGTGTAATTTTTGCAGTAAATGCTAATGAAGTTAAATTAATTGCTGGTATGACACCATAATATAGGGAACCTCAGTGTTGTTTTCTGCGAAGATTGTATGTTCGTCAAAACTTTATCAAGGAACACTTTTTCCTTATTGTTCACGAAGGAATTGTGTTGAGGAATCTATAGGAAAGAATGCCCATACCATGATTTCACATCAAATTCATCTTTATTAATATTGTAACGTGTTTCTGCGTTACTGAATACGCCGTAGAGATGGTTAATTGGTTTATTTAACAATCTACAAATAACGGCTACAATTAATTATTACACAGTTGCGGGGTTTCACACTCTATAACCCTAATCGCAATAATCTGTTACCACTGTTGCGGGGTTTCACACTTGATAACCCTATGCGCAAATCAGTTCACTCTGTGTTCAGTAGTCTACACGTTGACAGTAGGGGAGCTATGTATCACTGTATCACACGCTCCCAATTACACAATTACACACACGTCCGGTTCTTCTTTCCGCGACGGCTGCTATACTCCAACTGTAGAACTGTTGATAACACACTCGCTCGTAGGCTTGCTCAGAACTATCTTCGGCGATGGCCAGGTTACAACTCGACTCGGCGACTGTTGCTATATGTCAACTCGGCTTGGCGACTATTACTTTATAACTCGGCGGCTGTCACAGTACAACTGACGTCGCCGACTGCTACAGTAGAACTCGTTGGTAAAGCACTCGGCGACTGTCACAGTACAACTGACCCGCAGCCGCTGTGCAGCTCACTTATATAGCTGCCGTGCTTGCCGGTTGCGTAATGAGTGCCACGTCACAGTAGGAAGTTGATTACGGGTACGTAGCGTTGCGCGTTACGTCACCGCGGAGGGGAGTGGCGGGGCGGGAACTCGCCTATTACCGTAGTAACGCAAGCGTTACGTTACCGCCACGTACCGCTGGGGAGGTAGGGGTGATCCATAGCTCAACATGTCACAATATTTTCCACTATAATTGTATGTTAGTGAAAATTTGGCTGAGGGCTGTTTTTATCTCGGTGCTCAACAAAGAACTGTGTGGCTGAGTCCATATGTGCAAATATCCATACCACAGTGCGTTCAACTTTAACTGCATTTTCCATGAAAAATATATATTGGTTCAAATTTTATCAACAGGCAATGGTATCTCAGTGTTTTCATGGAGTTATTAGGTGGAGTCTGTAGGCATGAATATCAGTGCCATCTTTCCACATCACATTCAGCTATAACTGTGTCAATCTCATATGCAAAATTATACTTAAAAAGTAGTATTCATGCATTTTGCATGCCAAAAATTTCAGATTAGATTATTTATGTAAAAGAGTATGTAAACTGCAGGACTCACGTTTGAGTTTGTTATTTCAGGTAGCAAGAATTTTCATCCCATATGCAATGAGAGCTAAGAAGGTGGACATGAAGAAACTCAAGCATGCTATATGGGGTATTTTAACCAGTAGAGAGAGTTGTGAGGTGAGGAACCGTCTGCATGTGAGAACAAGCAAATAGTTTTGAGAGCAGACACTGCAGAATGGCTAGATGAATTAATGGATGAGTGGATGGATGTATGAATTAGTGAATATATGATATGATAAATGAATTCATGTAGACCTATAATGAATGAATCTGTGAGAGGATGGCAGATTGGCAGAGAAATAGGTAATGTGTTGCAGAACTATGTCTCATGTCTGTAACCATACTTCCTTTTCCAGAAAGTCTTTTAAATTTAACTATCACCAATCAGTAGTTCCCACCAGAATGGGAGGCCTACCTGAGGTTCGGGAGGCTTCCTGTGTCCATGCATATGTCATTAGTCTTCATTCCTTTATATCCCTTTCAGTTCCTAATTACAGCAGCAGTTCCTAAGATATTCCATTACCATTTCTATCACCATCATCCTTTCATATCTTATTCAGCACTGTGTAACCTCTGCAGATATTACAGTTTCAGAAAACTTAAATATCCCTCATTGACAAAAAGAGGCTAGGAGGGTTACTCATATTATAACCATAACTATTGTTTGTTACAGGCAAATACTCTTTTCATTTTGTTGGCTTCTATATATAGCACCATGTCAGGATATGAATACTGCTGAGTTGTCAGAAGAACCTGATGCTTTCTTCTTCAGGATCAGTGTGACTGAAGGAGGAGGTAGCAGATTTCTGTGAAACATTGGTAGTGTTTCTATTCCTCACCATACTGCCGTACCCAAAAGACAACTTAGTGAAGAGTGATCGCCCTATAAACCTCAAATGTTAAGTGTTATTTTAGTACTTAATATTGTACTTCTTTGTGCTTTTTCAGGACAAGAATTATAATGACAACCTGCGAATTGAAAGGCCAGTTAGCTTCATGAATATGTATACTACACTACCAAAAAGACTGCCTTCAAAATTAGCAGAGAATTTAAGTGCACCCCTGGCAATTGTTGCATTACTGCATCTTGCCAATGAAAAGACACTTCACATAGTGGGAAATGAAGATCTTAGTGACTTAACCATTACACAAGGATAAAGTGCAATAACATGTTGAGTGTGTGCCACTACCATGTGATGATACACATTTCAGCGTTCACTGAAGACTAATGAGTATATGTCAGATAGTGTTTCATTCTTTTATGATAGCAGTAATTAATTACATAATTATATATATTTAGTAAAGTTTAAAACCATTAACAGTAACCAAATAACTCACTCCATAATCTTTGAAACGGTTGTTACTCAGCTAGTCTAGAAATTCCCTGCTTTTATGGAAACCAAGGTGTGTTACTGTACTCAAGAAAGTCCAGAATTCAATCCTGTCATGATCCAGTGAGTCCTATCCAAACCTTCTGTTCCCATTTATGCCTTGAAACCTCAGTTTATTCCCTCTGAAATTTTCTAACCAGAATTTGTATGCATTTCTCATTTCTCCTGTGCATTCAGAGCCCACAACAGCAGAGACACTGAGGTAGCTAAACACTAAACACTACTCCCCATTTAATGTCCTGAAATATGGCATCCTGTTTTGCATACGTTGATACGTCATATGGATTCCTTCAGCTTATGACAAAGACAGAGCCCAGAAATGTTAACATGCTATAACTGGGGGCATTAAAAAGAAAAACATTTTTCTGAGTCAAATATTTCCCTCAGTTTAGCATTCAGAGCAATATCTGCTTTTAATAGACTGAAGTGACAATTTTTCTTTTGTGTATTGACAATATGATTCACACATAGTTTACATATTACAGAACAAGTATTAATTCCCATATGAACTTCGCATTTTCATTGGTTGCAGTGACAACTGTAAATATTCATTGGTGGAATTTTGGAGTGATTTATAAATTCCTTTATTCAAAATTGACTATAACAAATATTCATTCTAGTGTCAGTTTTTAGTGCTGTTATGATTTCTTCGTGGTAGGGTAGTTGGGTGAGGCACTATGCTACAAGCTGGAAGGTTGCAGGATGGAATCCTGATGTAATTGGATTTTTCAATTGACTTAATCCTCCCAACTGCACAGTGGCCCTGGGGTAGACTCAGTCTCTTCACATAAATGAGTACCAGGAATTTTCCTTGGGGGTAAAGGGCAGCTGGCACGTAAGGGTGACAACCTTACCCCCATCTATGAGCTGACTGTCTAGAAGATGCGGGAGCCTCGACCTCTCACACCCTTATGGGCCTTCATGGCCTTTACCTTTTTATGAATTCTTGTTATGATGGACTTCCTCAGTATTAAAATGCTTTGAGAAATAATCATCATACCCCTAATGGATTTCAACAGTAGCTTGAAACAAATCTGAAATGCAGGAAATTTAACACTAAGTTTACTGACATGGGGCATTGAAATTGAATGATGAACAAGAAAAACCCACCAAATGGGGGTTCTACTCGTACTCTAGCTCATATTGGTTACACTACTTTTGAGTCATACTGTATTATGTTTATTCAGGATTTTCTCCAAAGTCTGTGTTCCTGACTTTAAAGAAGTAAGAATAAAGTAAACAAATGGTTCTGCTTGTATACAGTTTATGGAAATATTGGTGACAAGAATATATCTGCACTGAGATGGATGAGGCATGTAGCACATATTGAAGAAATAAGAAATGCATATAAAATGATAATGTGGAAACATGAAGGGAAATGACCACTTATAAATTTCAGTATTGATGGGAGGATAATATAAAAATGATCATAAGTACATAGTGTGTGAAGATATTGACTAGATTTGACTGGGTGAGAATGGGATCCAGTAGCACTCTTTTGTGAACATTGTTGTAATCCTTGTGTTTTGCAGAAGAGAACTTCTTGGCTAGCTGAGTAACTGTCAACTATACAACAAAAACTACGTTATGGATTCACTTCGGACTGTGCTAGTCTTGGCATATGATTGAGTGACTATATACAGAGTTTGGATTGGTAATTGAATTTATTGAACTCTTACAGATGCCTGACTCCAAGTAATTATAACCTATTCACTAATTTGTACACTTTACATACAGTTCACTCACTGCCTGCTGTGTCTCCACCAGTCTTCTGGTAACAGCTTCCATCAGCAGACGTTCCCCTTCCTCTGGGTTCCAAAGTGTCCCCAGCCTCAGCTACAGCAACTTTCAAATAAGTAACTTGCCATTCAACTCATCACACTCCACTGACTGACTGACTGACTGACTGACTGAACACTAGACTTGTCTTGCTTATAACATTTCGGCACAGACTATGTAGAAAATACTGTTCCTTTGTTGCGTTCACATCTGTTGGCCTGCCCACATATTCGCTGCTCAGCCGTTAACTGGTAACGGCCGTTGTTTATAGAGCTCTTGCTTAGCAATGGCTGTTGTGTGGCTGCTTATTTCGCAATTGTTGCCTAACATGTCTACGTGCCACACTGCTTCGTCCTGAATAGCCTACAAGTGTACCGCCATTTTTTCTTTTCCGAGGACTGTGCTTGTGACGTCTGTGATCGGTCTAGCCTTCCTTTCCCATGGCTCGATTCTCACGTTTCTCACCAACTGCTCCTTCCTTAAGGCTGCTTGTCTCGAGCGGTTCGCTGATAAAATGCGAGCAGGTCCAGGTGGACCACCATCATCATCTTTCTGAAGTTGCAGGCTAGACTTCTGAGAGATACCGGTGCTACTATATCTCTGGCTCTTAAGCTACTAGTAGCCTCTTCTTCCAGTTTGATGAGGGCTGACTCCTCCATAATGTCCAGTCACTGATTTTTAGAATCCTGATGGAAGACCGGATTGTTTGCTTCACAATCTCCAGGACAAGAGCCTGCCTGGAGGTCTCGTTAACATTTCCCTTGCTTCCCAGTCATAGCTGCTGTTGTAGGCCTCGGTACCATATTCCCTTATTGAATTTCAGGTGTGTCCGTCTTCTCTTCTCGAACATCCATTCGACAAGACAAGCCGAAGTGTTTTATGTAACCAAGTAGACTGTTCTTGTAAGCAGGGAGGCAAGGAAAGTAGAAGAGAATGGAAGTGAGAAGTGTTTCCTGTCATCCAGAACAAACACAAACATACCAAAAAGAGGATGCAACATAGACAGAGGTCTGTCTTGAATATTGTGAAAAGGCGAATGCCCTATTGCCAGAAAGGAATGCTCGCTTTTACAGAAACAATAGACTATAAATATTGACTCCTCCATTATGAGGCTACTGAAGCATCGTGGCTTTCACCACAAGAAAACTAACGACAGACGCAAATTCCTCATGGACCGAGGTCACTAGTAATGCAGAAAGTTGAAGGTTTTGTGAAATATGCACATCAAGGAATTTTCTCAGTCGACCGATATATTATCTGGATAAATAAAAACACAGTAAATATACTTGGCATCATTAATTTATTTATTCATTTCAACTGTGCTCCTTTCTTTGCGTCTTGTCGCAGACATCTTGTCTTGACTGTTACATGTCTTGGCGCATACTACTGTGCGGCCTACCTTATTGTTTGCCACGCAGGATAGGCTAATGCAGGCTTCATACCCAATAGCGAGCGGTGCTCGGTCTAAATCTGCTCTAGATTATCAGCAAGAAATGGCCATCGATACAATTCGAGATTGTTTCTTTACATATAACAATTACACTTAGGATGGTAGTGTAATAATTATGAATAATGCGAGCTACAATTCGGTTACAATAATCAAAGCTTACAAACAAAATAAACACAAAATAAGATGTTGAGTGGTGGCAACAGAAAGGAATTTACTTTTTCCCCGCCAAAACAGACTAAAATTTTACAGCAAGTGCCCCGAAGGCGAAACAGTAAAAACTTGATCAGCTTGTTATTAATATTAAAATTCAGCATCCTGTTGCATTGTTGTAACACTCGCCCACTTGTTTCTGTCTATAATGCAACATAAATTTGTAACATGAAATGTCATTAAAATCGCATCTTACTTTACTATTGCGCCACTTTTCGGCCATATTTTCCTCCGAAGCTTCCGCTGATTTTCAACGGGCTACAGTGTGTTATATTCTGGAAGATAACCGCCTATGTGAGGACCTTAAATCATGGATAATAGTTAACGTTTTTACCGACTGAGCCCTCGATATTAGCTAAATGACGTAATTACGAACACGTTTCCCGCCAACAATATTCAAGGGAACCGTGGCGCAAGTAACTCCCCAACTTGGATTGTAGATGACGCTAGAACATGAACAGTAATCCCTGTGCCCACCCCCCGCCCTTCCCTTGCCAACCAATAGCGTTAAGTTGCGTGGAGAGCGGTTGTCGTGTTTCACTTCGAGCTAGAACTAGAACAGAGAACAGAGAGGGCAGAGCAGGGCAGATAGTATTCAGAAGCCAGAAGAGTCCGAGGGATTTTCGGTAGTTTGAGGCGTTTGGGGGTGTTGGGGATGATAGAAGATCTGTGAACGTCTGGTGGAAATATGTTTTTGAAACGTTTAGGTGTTTGTTAGCTGTTAAGTATGGTTAGGTAAGAGCTCTTCATTCCTAGAAAAACCATGCCGTTAATTGTAAAATAGAATTCTCTTAGGTGAGAGAACTGGGTCTATGTGAGAGTAACATACGCTGTTAAAGTTAAAAATTAAGAGATTATGACATTTGTTTCTGTGCTGTTTGTGCACATGTCGTGGCTGTATCAGTTTTATCACTCAGTGCCTCCCGATAACTAAGTAAGCGTAATAATTGTAATTCAACGTAACGATGTCTGGTTGTTTTTGGCACTCTCCATGCGAATAGTTTCATTATATGTTACAGAAATAAGGATATTTTACTTTATATAAGGAAGTTCGTTTTTTCCGGTTTATATAATTATTTTAGGTAGTGCTGAAGCCCTATGCATGATGTTGCTTTTGTTTAATGGCATATGATTACCCTGTGCTTAAAGTTTTCCTGGGTTGAATGCAAGTACTAACACCATTTGGGTTTGCCTTTAGTCTTTCAAATTTATATATCTGTAGTACGTACTATGCTGACACCCTGCAATGAAACTAGCTAATTGATGGGTCTCTTTGGTTTATAGCTACAATATGGTAACCGGTTATAACTCTGCCCAGAACACCTTTTAGGATATGTCATAATTTGTGTAGGCAACCTTGCAGAAGAAAAGCCCTTATGTTAAAAAATAATGTCTGGTGTGGCAGTTACTAGTCCTATCATATGATGAATGTAAAATCCAGAAACTTTCTAATCATGGTGTAAAGAATGATGTCACTGCTTAATAATGATGCACGCTGAAAGATGTTATAAAAAGTTGTTTTTTTTTCCCCCTTGGCACTACAGCCCAGTGGGCCTAAGCCTACCTCCACGAACTTCTCCGTTCACTTCGGTTTTTCTAGATCTTACACATTCAGTGGGACTCCTTGGGTGGGTGCTCAGCTCGTTGCAAGGCCTCTACCTGTACACAAACACAGAGAAACACACACACACACAAACTAAACATCCATGCCATGAGTGGGATTCGAACCCACGATCCCGGTTTCCAAGTGAGCGAAGACAGTACATGCCTTACACCGCTCGGCTACCGTGAACTGTGTTATAAAAAGTTTAACATTATTTATTCTGGTCGGGTCACAGTGGTGAACTAAATTATAGAATAACATTTGTTAACACAACACAAGACAAACCAGTGCCTTAAAACACAGCAGAACAGATACAACAAAATATCATAATGATACAGAACCATAACAAGCCTGCGAGAACCATTGAGGACTCCGAATAACAGCCCATTATTCTGTTTTTAACATAAGAGGCAGAAGGACAAACCATATCAGTTCAAGATCTTAGATACCAAACACTAATAAAATTTTAATCGAAACAATTGTAAATAACTTTTATATAAAAACTTCTAAGTGTGTATTATGAAATTTGTAATAGTAGTTTCTGAACATGTTGATCTTATGCCTTCTGAAAATGGCCAGCTGACTGAAATATGTAAAGGCAATAAATATCTCAAATTGAATTTTACTAGATGGCGTTAACAATTATTATATAATGTATGGTTTGAACACTTTTGCTTTTTTTTTCTTGTACAATGGTTTTGTATAGTTACACTCTATACCAGCAGATGTACCAATGAAGTGAAAAGAAATATATTTCTCTTTATATGGGCATATTTTTGTATTTCTCCAGCAACCTGAATTCACTGACATATTTAGTTCGGTTGTTTTAATTTAATTGAAGTTTGCATTATTTTTGTGTTTGTTGCAGTAGACATAAATGAGATGAAAATTTTAAGAAAAGGGCTCATGTACTAGTTCACCATGTTGTAGACTTTATAAAGTATAAAATTATTCATTGTGTCTTTCAGAATACAATGGTACAATTACAAAGTGCTTAAGACTTGTTAAAGTTACAACATTACAACAGTATGGCTGAATTTCTTGCTGACAATAATCCATGTGGACAGACTATCCTTCGTCTTGTCTCAAGAGGAAATGCCATTATTGCTGAACTTCTCCGTCTTAAGGATTACATTCCACCGGTTTTCAGGTAAGCTTTTAGGCTTTCTTTGCATTAATTCGGTCAGTCCACATATTTCATCTCTGAAACTACTCAACAGATTTCAGTATAGTGTAATGCAGGTCACATGATTAGTTGGAAGACAAATTTTACATAGCCCTACACAAACTCCACTTGGCATAAACCTCAGATTGATCTTCATTAATTTTTACAAGAATGGTTCTTGATACAAAAAATTAGAACATTAAATAAAGTGTGAATTTCATAAAGATTTACAACTTAATATGCAACATGTTTTTAATGTGCAAGTATTTCACAAGATACAAACAAAATAATATGTCTTTATACCTAATAGGCTTTGTTAACAACAGATTTCTACACTTATTGTGTTTCTGGACATTATCCATTGTCCTGTTTCTATTTAAAAAACAATGTTTTGGAGACTGGATTCTGTCTGCAACTACAGGTGGAACCTACTCAGTTGGGCCCAATCAATAGAGCAAACCCCTATCTCTGGACACAAGCACCAACACAAGATAGGGCATATAAACCAATCACAGACAAACCATGTGCGAGAGTCAAGACAAACATTGAAACCTAAAAAAACTCCAGACACTTGAGACCTAGCACCTATGTTCATGCACTATTTCATGGCTATTGTTGTTATAATCAGAGTACTATCAGAATAGAAGTAATTACTAAAGAGACAAATGCTACCAACATAAAAACACTATTTTCACACACAATCTACACTGGATGTAGTTGCAGTATTCTGGCTTCTGCTGCAAAATGGGAGTCCAGATGGGAGAGATGTCTAGTCTGGATTTACTGTTCGGATGATCTACCAGAGACATGCGTGTGGATTCCTTGTATTTTCTGTATGTGGTGTTTGGTTCAGTCTGCAAGACCTTTGATTCCTTGCAACATATTTTGTTGCCTTCTTCATATGCATGTTTGAATTTTCAAGCAGACCTTTGGTCATGTTATATTTGTGCTCCATAATGCACACTTCTAAAGGTCTGCCTGTTTTGCCGATGTAACATCTGCCACAGTCACTTGGGATATTGCATACGTGATGCTTCATCTGGTATGAATCTGTGACTCATCCAGTTTTCATGGGTGTCCTATGGAGTGTATGTTTAGTTTGAAAATAGTCCTGACATTTAAATGGTTTCCAGTGCATCTGAATTTCTCAGAGATACCCTTAACATATGGGATAATGACCATGCCCTGGTGTATTGTATCTGAAGAAGTATGGTTGTTTCTTGTTGGCGTTATTATCGAGCCAGTGAATTCTTGTAGGTATTCATTAAGCATCAGATTATGTTTTGTGTTCTTAATTTCCTTGTTGAAATGCAGATAATGACCAGTATGGGTAGGTACACTTTCATGGCCAATTTTTGACCCTGCTTCATGACCAAGAGGTCCAAGAATCAACTTCCGTTCTGAATTTGATGGTAGGTCTAATGCTGTTGAGGTGCTGAAGAAATTACTGCCATCTTGCTGCTGTATGTGGCCAAACCATGAAAGTGTCAACTTATCTGATTTGTTTGTTGCTTCATGATATTAATTTTTAGCACTCATTTAACCACAAGATATAAGAATGTGTTGTATAGGAGGAGGGAAATGAAAATTATACATACAGGGGTTGTCACGTGGTCAGCACAACAAATCTCCACGGCCATTAATTTCGGTTTTCTAAACCGGAGCCACTACTTTTACATTCAAGTCGCTCCTCAGTTATCCTCAGGATGCTGAATGGACCCCATTCCAGACTCACCATTTCTCAGAAAATCTGGTAGCACCAGGAATCGAACCCGGGGCCTTTGGATATGTAGCCAGGAACTCTGACCACTAGACCACAGATGCGGTCATCATGACTGCAAAGGAATACAAAAATGTGTGTGTACTCCATTGCAGTATGCTTCTCAACTTTCTTTGCTGCACTGGTCTTGTATGAGCTTATTAAGGATTAGTACAGCTTTTTTGCATCTGTTCTGAAGGTTTCTGGTGGATGTGTGTTATTATAGTCATGCAGCACTTTGGAAACTGGGTCTGTTTTAGTTTTAAATATTCATGGGCATATCCACAATTTTTATTTTAAATCTTCTTATGATTTCCCAGTGACAAAACCTGATCCTGGGTGCTTGTATAGATATGGCTGACTTCCTGATGTTGTCCAGTAATTGAGATTTAACTTTCTAATGGACTCCACCCCTTTACATGAGGATAGAAATGGATCAAGTTTCTGGAATGATGTGTTTCTGCAGAATACCAATGGCGGACAGAGTCCAGAAACTGTTATCCTACACTTTTAGAGCCACTTCTGTAGGCACACGTCCGGAAATTTGATCTGTAATCAGATAAATTAATGTATTTAATATGAAAAACTAATAGGCTTATTTGAGTTACATTTGTTACTGGCATGTATCAGTCATTACACGACTTAACAGACTGGTTACAGTTTCCAGCAGCAGGGATTTTTTTTCTACCATGGCCAGAATGCGTCAGGAATTCATTTGGCGTCCTATCATATTATCACGTGCCTGAGTGAAACTGTAGATGGGGTTTGGATTGATGGCTTGATGTAGTGACCACTTATACACACAACTCATAACTACATATAAGTATAGTGCCTTTGCTAATCTTCACACTTTACAAATCACTAGAGCACATGGTAAGCCTTCTCAGTCAGCTTTCACCCGGTAACAAATCTTAACCATGGAGAGTCTTAAGCTTTTGTGCTCACATTGTTGCCCACTGGCTAATACATCGTGACTGAGCTCATTGCTTCATTTGACCATCTCCCATGCTGGCAGTGATCTCACATGAACCTCATACTCTTCTCTTCACAGACTCCTTTACAGCTGACTGCAGCTCAGCTGGTGTCCTCATCATATAACCTTGTAGATAACACTGTTTTAAACAGTTCCTCTATTGCTGAGGATGGACTCGTTACTGTGGAATATTTTTGTTTCACGGTCATTACCTACTAACTACTCTACATGCTACTGTATATTGGTGTTCACTGCAGGTACTCTTCTTGGGGTGAAGTGGCTGGAGTGTGAATTTGCCTCACACCCTCCATGTAGAAACATGATATAGAATACACAGGTTTTTACTTCCATGCCTGTACACTTTTATAGCATAATATACAGCCACAGGAGAAACACTTGCATTGGTATATTCATTGCAGTATAAAATGTAATATAGGGATTATTGTTTTTAGACTAGAAACAAAGCAAGACCAGGCGAAGTACGCAGAAATCATCTCAGACTTTAGCTACTTCAAAATGTCTGATGAGTATGATCAGAAGATTGACAGTAACCCTGTAAGTACTGGTCTTTATCATCGACAATATAAACCTTTGCTTGAGATAGTCAATTAAAGAAAAACTGAACAGTGAGTTTTCCTCTGTATTCCTTATCGCTTTCCCCTCCCCTTGTTTCCCAGTATCCTCTTAGCACACTAACTGCAATATTATATTTAAGCATCCTGTTACACTACACAATATATGACACAAACTCCATCCTAGTGCAACAATTTATTGTAGTTCTTTCATCTTCCTTTCTTCTACACTACATGTTTCAGGTGTATCATCAGGTGTATACTCTCACATAGCTGCTACACTGAACGTAGTTTAAAATTTAAAAAACACCAGTCTTCCCAATTGTTCACTTCTCCCTTGTTAACAGGTTTTGATATATCAGAATCCTCCCCACTGATATCTGTCAGATATGTACAAAATCTTTGTTAATCTACACACGTCAATTTGATTTTCAAAAACTGGCACTTTTAAAATCTTCAATTCAAATTTAAAAATTTCTTTAATTTTTTTTTCTTCAAATTTTAAAATTTAAAATTCTCACAGGTACCCGCCCTATGTCTATAGTGCTGCAGCGGCTACTTCTTGTTTTCAGCACTGTTCCGGTATTATTCTGTGTAGGCTCCCTGTGTGGGTTAGCAATAGCATTATAATTATTTACAGTCAAAAGGTAAAGTTGTCCCTGTACTTAACTAAGTAAGCACTATNAAAATGTCTGATGAGTATGATCAGAAGATTGACAGTAACCCTGTAAGTACTGGTCTTTATCATCGACAATATAAACCTTTACTTGAGATAGTCAATTAAAGGAAAACTGAACAGTGAGTTTTCCTCTGTATTCCTTATCGCTTTCCCTTCCTCTTGTTTCCCAATAGCCTCTTAGCACACTAACTGCAATATTATATCCCTCAGTCATCCAACCAGTATCTAGCTGCTATACTGACTATGCTATCCTNTCTTGACCTTGGCACTAGTTGGAGATGAGTGGTCAGCTTCATGCCCTGGCTGCTTTACCCCCAGGGAAAGAGCACCTGATACCTGTTTGATAGGAGGTTGGGTGGACTGCAGAGCTAGTCTGAATGACATAGAGAAGTGAAAATTCTTGAACCTATTGGGACTGAAAACTCCGATCCCTCAGTCATCCAACCAGTAGCTAGCTGCTATACTGACTATGCTATCCCGGCTCACAATTTACAGTTCAAGTCGTAAATGTTCAGTAAATGTAGTTATCTATCCAAGCCCCATGTCTAGCCACTAACACATGGCAGTTGGTGTGATGGCACTTCCTTATTGATGTACTGGGCGATGGGAGAGTGGATTCAGTTTGAGCCATCCATATTCCCATCATAGGCTGCTTCCATGGTGCCAAACCAAATTAAATATTATTAAAATAATCCCACCCTATGGATGCTGTCCCCTCTGTACGGATTCCCTAATCCTTGGCAGCTGGCTAGAGATGCTCAGTGTGTGATAACTTTGGATCCTGATCTCATAAGGATTCTAACGCCTGTCATGCTGGTAGGTGGAATTAAAAAAAAACATGTTGTGTTTAATTATAGCAACTACAAGACTTGGATGAAGAATTCAGAGAAAACTACACTGATATTCTCACACGTTTCTACCTTGTGTTTGAGAGTTTGCACAAGTATATTATGGACTTGAGTCATTTTCTGGATGATTTAGAGGAAGGCTTGTTTATCCAGCAGACCTTGGAGAGTGTGCTTCTCAATGAGGAAGGCAAGCAACTGTTGGTATGTTCAATATTGTTTAGTTCTTCCATATTGTAACAGAAGTTTAAGGAACCAGCTTATGAAACACTGTTTAGAAGAATGTGGGTAGAATGCTCCTGCAGCTTGGGTGGACTGATTTTTGAGTATTTATTGGTGCCTTTTCAACTGCATATGTATTGTAACATCAGACAGTAGAACGGTTATGAATGATGGATTGGAAAGGACATGTAAGAAAATGGTTGTATCATAATGTAAGGTATTATCCCAGTATTTGACTTGATGGACTAAGTGATCGATGGAAATTCCCAGTCATGATTGTTGATCTCTGAGTCAGAAATAAAATTTGAGACCTCTCAAATATGAACATCTGTGGAATTGAAATACAAATCTTTCGGATGGAAGGAGGTTATATAACAGTAGGCACAGTTCAGAACATATTTATCTTTAATATATAAGAGTACTAGTCTCAGTCTTGTCAAGACAGAAAATAGATTTTAAAACTGTACTGTTTGATCCCATGAGCTTATAGCAGTGTCAAATGGCATGTGATAATTTTGCGTTTTATGGGATGGTAATATTTCATTATACTTGTCTCTCAGTGCTTACTTCTGTTCACTTGGTAACTATGCAGTAATAATCATGTATAGGCCGCACCATAGTTCAAGCGGTTAGTTGTTGGCTTGGTTCGATCCCGGGTCTGGTCAAATGGGATTTGTGGTGGAAAAAGTGGCGCTGGGGCGGGTTTTCTCCGAGTACTTCAGTTTCCCTTGCCAATCTTCATTCCACCAAATTCTCCATCATAATCACCCGGGGCAGGCTACAATAGGCCAATCAGTGGCCACCGTACCGAGTGGACCCAGTTGGACTCCACCTCCCACTAAGCGAATTTAAAAAAAATAGTCTTGTATTAAGGGCGTGTGACTGTAGATGGGGTATGAATTAGATATTGGATTTATTGACCACTTGTATACACCACTTGGAACTATAAATAGTTACAGTGCTATCATTAATCTCCACACTATACATATCACTAAAGCACACAGACTAGTGTGTCTATTACAGTCTTCACTAGGCGTTTCCTTGTAACAGATCTTAATAATGAAGATTTTCCAACTTCTGTGCTCATATCATTACTGTCTGGTAAATATCCCACGCAAGCAACGCGTGTTTCTTCTTGTAATTGTTGCATACTACTACACACATGTTACAATATGTATGTATGAAGGTTCATTCCTTAGCTTATAACCTTAGTCAGATTCAGGAAACATGTTGGCCATAAGAATCTAAAGGGTTCTGACAGTGGTTTATAACACACTAAATTATTGGTTTCTTGGACTTTGTTCATTGTCTGGTGTTCCAAAACCTATAAAACACAACATTTTGGAAACTGGTTGTGTTTCTGTCCTCAGATGAAGGGGAAGGCATTTAGTCTGTCGGGTCCCTTAGAAAGAATTAATCACTGGAGGAGTCTGAGTCTTTATTACAACTGATGGTCAGTACCCGCCTGGGGCTTACCCCTAGATTTTGATTACTGTCAGACAGTTGTGGGTTTGTTGATATGGGTCAGTCTGTCTGACAAGAGGATGGGTCTATTGTTTACAGTTGCTGCAGGCCCTCACCAGAGCAATCATTCTTGGGTTGTAGTCCCTTGGGGCTCGCGACCATATTTTACTTTCTCAGATTTGAGACTTCTCTCTTCGTCACTTCCTGTGACTCGCAGGATTATGGTGAAGTATGCAACTTCACCTCCACACAGGATACCTGACCAGCCTCCACATGGCATAGGCTCTTTCTGGATAGTAAAAAAAAATGTAGTTCACATGTGAACTATGCCGACTGAGTGACTGCTGCTTGTCAGCGAAGTTAGTGCCAAGCTTTGCAGATAGAGGGTGTTACATTTTCAGTGCATCCGATCCCCACAGCCGTTAATCTCGGTTTTCTAGACTGGAGCCACTATTTCAATGAAAGAGCTCCTTAATTATCCTCATGGGACTGAGTGGACCCCGGTCCAGACCCACTACTTCTCAGGAAATCTGGTAGCTCCAGGAATCGAACCTGGGACCTCCGGATCTGTAACCAGGAACTCCGACCACTAGACTACAGATGCGGTCCTTCCTGGATAGTCTCACTCTTTAAATAGTTTCGTACTGACTGTAGAGAACACATGGTTCTGCTGTTCTTTTATTGCGTTGTCCTGAACTGTTTCCATGGATACCTTATTATTGAGTTGTTGTGTAGCAGTGAATGTTTCCTAGCAATGATTGCAATTATTATGCCAGAAATGCATTGTCGTCACACTTGGTTTAATGTGGGAGGTTCCCACAAGTCCTTTCAGAGTGTCCTTCAAAGGCTGTAAGGTATAATGCTGAATCAAATCAGTGCTTTTTACAGCTGGTGATACAGGCATTTGTTTTGATGAAATATTTAGTTTTGTTTGTTGTTATATGATGACCTCTGTCAGTGAATGAAGAAAGATATCTAATCTTAACTGAAGTAAATACAGTGCATAATTCGACATCAATAAGCAACAGGAAAGCTGTGTACTCTGCACACTTTAATATAAGTCAGGGTTGAAATTCTGGCAGATGACTGATTAATATATAGAAAACTACAATATGTTACATATTGTTTTGTGTAAATGTGAAAACACTCCCTCTGAAGTAAGACAGAGATTGAGGATGTTTTTATTTTTTATCTGTTAATTATTGTGAGGGGGAAAACAAAATTCAGAGGAAAATATTTTGACCTAAGAAAGAGAAAGATGCAAATTATGTAATGAATATATTTATAGTTTGTACTGTAAATCTAATGTTGATGGAATCAAGAGTGATGAGGTTGATAATACGTATAGTAAAAATTAGAAATGTATGCAGAAGTTTAACTTATAACTTTCAAGAAGAGAAACCACTGGCAAGAACTTTGCACAAATTGTATGATAATATTACTGTGGACCTCAAAGAAATAGAATGAGCTTGTGAGCTGGATTCCACTGGCTTAGGATAGGGCCCAGTGAAGGGCTTTTGTGTAAACTGTAATGAGCATTTGGGTATAAAAAAAGAACAGTTTTTTGAGCAGCTAGGAAGTAATAAACTGCCCAAGGAAGGCTCTGTAGCTTGGAATTACATCTCCTGCAAAGTTAAGTAGCATATTTGCAGGCTTTTATGTTTGTGTGTATCATATGTAAGATTCTACGTACAAGATACATGATTTTTCCTCCCCCCCACAGTGTGAGGCACTCTATTTGTATGGAGTGATGCTTCTTGTAGTTGACCTGCACATTGAAGGTGTGATAAGAGAACGAATGCTTGTGTCATACTACCGCTACAGTGCACAGCGATCCACTGCAGAAAGCAATATTGATGATGTCTGCAAGTTGCTTCGCTCAACTGGATTTACTAACACATCAGCTTCAAAGAGGGCATCCAACTACCCTGAGGAATATTTCAAGTTAGTGGACCTACCATTGCATGTGCATGAAGTTATATTAGCAAATTGAGAGTTGGGCCATACCATAGCTCAAGCAGTTAGTTGCTGGCTTCCCACTGCAGTGGCCCAGGTTCGATCTCGGGTCTGGTCACGTGGGGTTTGTGGTGGACAAAGTGGTGCTGGGGCAGGTTTTCTCCGAGTACTTAGGTTTCCCCTGCCAATCTTCATTCCACCAATTGCTCCACAATCACCCTCACCTATCATCTGGGGCTGGTACAATAGGCCAGAAGTGGCCGCAGTACAAGGGACTTAGTCCCACCCACTAGCAATAAAAGAAAATGAGAGTTGTATTATGATTATGTTACATTTCCCATATGGTGACTTCGTTTATAATAGAGCCATCTCATTTTCTCCTCAATGAGCAAGTTGCAGGCCACATGTCATCTTCAAAATTTCTCACCATGGCCTGTAGGCTGATTTCACAAATGTCGAATCAAGACATTTTAGGTAACAAAATTTTCTTGACTGTCTCTGAATCTAATAAAATTTTGCAAGCTTTATTGGTATCTATAGCAAATGACATACAGTGAAACCATGATAGAGCATTTTTGGCTAAGGTACTGTTAACCCACTCTCTGTATCCTTCCCATGTCTAGGATGAAGTTCTCATGCAGGAATGTTGAAACAGCTGACACCTGCCAGATTGTAACCACTGAGAACTGTACACAAGTGACATCTTCTGTATTTCCTTGTCAGTCTAGTAGCTTGTTTCATTGTGCATTGTGTCACTTGCCTTGTTTATAGACTTCGTGCAGTAACTTTCCCACTTTGTTACACAGATTTCCCCTTCCTCTGAGCTGCAACTGACCTCAGAAGATACTGTCACAGAATACAACTATGCGTTCATATGTTAAAGATTTTCTTCTGGTTGTCCCCAGCTGCAGATTTTGAAAACTCCTAATTGGAGCTTCAAAAGGAGAGGGCTTGGATTTGAATATGGGGCTTGAAATAATATGTCATTGTGAAATCAGCAGCTTGTTGAAAAGCAAAATATGAAGGTGAGATGGATTAACTCCAACATTATTTACAATATAGAAAAAGAGAAACACAATATATTCTAAACTGAAGCAAACTACAGGCTTTTTTTTTACCTGAAATAAAGTCACGGCATTTATGTCATCTCATCAGATGTCACCATGTATATTACTGTGAAAATTTAGTCACGATGTCATGAATTAGAGTCACAACTTTAGTATCACAGAATGAAATTAAGTTTGATTTCCATGAGATTTGTCATGATTTTGCAGATCACAAAACACTTCACTGTGTAGATTCTAAAGGGTTCTAACGATGGTGTATAACACTCAGAATTAGTGTTTTTGAACTTTGTCCATCATGTGGTGTTCTAAAAAACTAGAGAATACAGCATTTCAGAAACTGGATCTGTTTCAATCAGGTTAAGGGGGAGACACCTACTCTGTCAGGTCCCTTAAGAAGAGATAGCCTCAATCACTGGCCAACCTATGTCAGTATAATTACAGCTATATAAATACCTGAGACCAGGCTTTGTCAAAGGGACGTTCAAGTGACTAGACTGCTGTTGTAGCAGGAGCTACTAATGATAGGACATGATCTGCTATACTGAACCTGGATTAACAGACGCCTTGTATATTTTGTATATACATACGTTTAATAACATGTAAAATGTAAATTGTACATGCTGACAACAGACTTATTACCACTGACTGTTACTCTTTTCAAACGACAGACCCGTCCTCTTGTCAGAGAGAGCACCCCACATCAACAAGCCTGCAACTCTAACAGTAATAAAGATCTGGTCTTAAGCCCCAGATGGATGCTTTATTCCAAGATAGACTAGCCGACTTACTGTCGGTCATAACATGACTTTGACTTTGACTTTGTCAAAGGGAGATAACAGGAAAAAAGTACAGTAAGAATTGTAATAAAGTATGCACAGACCTGAAACTAAGACAGAAATAAAAAAAAACTCCATTGTTTTAGTCTGCAAGTGAACTATACAGACTGAGTGAACGCCGCTTGTTGGAGAACTTAGTGCCAACTTTAGTGGATAGAGGGTGTCACGTGGTCAGTGCAACGAATCCCCACTGCTGTTAGTTTCGGTTTTCTAGACCGGAGCTGCTATTTCCTTGAAATAGCTCCTCAGTTATCATCACGAAGCTGAGTGGGCCCTGTTCCAGACCCACTACTTCTCAGAAAAATTCTGGTAGCGCTGGGAATCGAACCCGGACCTCTGGATCTGTAGCCAGGAACTCTGACCGCTAGACCACAGAGACAGTCCTAAGACAGAAATGCAGGTGAACATTTTATGCAGCAAAGCAAGCCCTGAAAACCAGTGCAAAAGATTTATTGGAGAATGTGAAACCATTTTGTACCTACCACTAGTGCCATCTGTGGAGTATAAAGTGAACGCTCAGGACTAAACCCTAGAGAAACCTGTGAAGAATGTGCCAGATCATTCTGATCTTCCCAGTGAATTGCTAACCTCTTTCCTGATAAGGGGGATCCAGATGTGATAAATGCCCAAAATGGGTTGGCTGATCAAATTGGATTGGATTGGAGAAGACCACTGGAACCTGAGTCAGGATAGCTGGTGCCCCAGCCAAGATTCAAACCAGCCATCTCCCAGATAAAAGTCAAAAGCACTGCTGTTTGAACCAGTGTATTACTGTTACAACTGGCCTGTTGCTGTTAAGTTTTTTGTAATAAAGAATACTTATCACTGCTACAGATCATTTTCTTTTTTAGCCTGCTTTCCTTATTTTGAAAAAATAAAAGGAAGCTTATGAGATCACCTTGCTGTCTGTATATCCCCACCCTCACTAATATTGCTAGGCAACAGCTCTGTAAACATGCTACCGCAGCAGTGAATACATACAGCATTAGAAGAACTGTTGGGCAGGGTGTTTTCTATGCTGTCCATGTCGCATTAAATACTCAATATGTATTGAAAGGAATGTAGGCAATGAGTTCTTCCAAGAACTTCTTAGTTTTTCTAAGGTATAGTGAGCAAACAACACACAGAGTCCATGTGGAGGGGTTCAATCTCAAGAAATTAAACAAGGTAGAGGGTCTAGTTAGTTAGTTAGTTATTTTGGAGAGGGTGGGTTTCCCCATGCACTTAGACCTGTATTGGTCCATTGTGCTTCCCTCTATGATTTCTACCAGTCTCTATATCCTACCGGTATTGGTACTTACCATCAGTCCCGCCCAGCCAGCGAGACCGGCTCTACTGGCTGAGAGGTAGCTATAATGCTTCCCCCATCTACCAGAGGTATTAGAGACTGCTGATGGGCGGGAAACGTCCGCAATTTTGGCTCAGTGACCTTTGGAGATATGAGGTTCTTTTACGTGGGTGGGTGGGTTTCCCCATGCACTTAGACCTGTATTGGTCCATTGTGCTTCCCTCTATGATTTCTACTAGTCTCTATATCCTACCGGTATTGGTACTTACCATCAGTCCCGCCCAGCCAGCGAGACCGGCTCTACTGGCTGAGAGGTAGCTATAATGCTTCCCCCATCTACCAGAGGTATTAGAGACTGCTGATGGGCGGGAAACGTCCGCAATTTTGGCTCAGTGACCTCCTTTGGAGATATGAGGTTCTTTTATGTGCCGTAAAGCTATGACACGGGACCAACGGCTTAAAGTCCCTCCCGGAAGACTTGTTCCCTGAATTTTTCCGCCCTTAAAAATTTGACGCCCTCCGCCGGGTATTTGAACCCGCATACTACGAGTCATGAGGTGGGAACGTTACCTCTAGACTATGGAGGCCACTAGGTAGAGGGTCTAACTGTTCAGCCCTTACATTTGATGCCACCTCCTCTCTAACCGTCCTTTTGGCCCCTTTGTTGCTGGTTGCAGCTGCTCCTCTAGCCGTTCCCTCTCACCTGTTGGTACTCCGAGTTTGCAGGTTGCTGCTGTGTCCCTCTTATCCAGTTCTTCCCTTTTTGTTGTTTGCGGGATATGGGTTACATGAATGCTGGGCGCCAGTAAGCTTACTATAAAGGCTTACTTTTCAGGAAAAAGGTGGGATGAACTGGAAACTACAGGTGATAGGTACTGCATTCGCACTAGAGTGATGAGATTCTCCCGGGGTGCATACAGGCCTCACGCTAGCGGGAAAGATAAGAGTGTTTATAGCTAGGCCCTACCACACACTGTTTATTAAGCATTTTTTGATGTTCAGTTAACATTTGCCCTTAATCCCTTAAACAAACTTGGAATCACTCAAATTTCTGCGACTGGATCCCTGGCTAGTTATTTAGCGACTGCTTTTAGTACAACACATAAAAGTGATTACACTTTCACTTAAACTTTAAGCCAAATTAAGATTCACACACATTTTTGCATCTAATTAATTTTGTCTAGTTATTCAGAGATTGTTCTAGTAACACTCTTAAATAATTTTGTTTTCAACTTTGACTTTTGAACCGAGCTGCTAGTGATGCTAATTTTTCTCGAGAAGAAATTGAACCACGCCTCGCCTGCATTACGGGGGGCTCTCAAGAATAAATTGAACCACGCCTCTCCTGCATTAAGGGGGTTCTCGAGAAGAAATTGAACCATGCCTCTCCTGCATTAGGGGGGGCTCTTGAGAAGGAATTGAATCACGCCTCGCCTGCATAATGGAAGGGGGCTCTAGAGAAGGAATTGAATCACGCCTCACCTGCATTATGGGGGGGGTCTTGAGAAGAAATTTGACCACTCCTCGCCTGCATTACAGGGGGCTCTTGAGAATGACTCCTGCCTCGTTTGCATCACGGAGGGACTCTCGAGAATGACTAATGCCTCGCCTGCATTGCGGGGCGCTCTCAGGAATGACGTCTGCCTTGTTTGCGTCATGGAAGGACAACAAATAGAAGAACCATTACCAGCGGAAAGGATAGCATTCCCTAATTGATTGAACTTTGGACATCCCTTTCTGCCACTAAAACACACCAACACCTTGCGCAGAATGAAATACGTTTGAAATTTATTGTGACTCATGCAGCTTGGTGGGGAGGCTGGTGGAAACTTCTGGTGCTGTATGACTCAAGCACTCCTGCACAAGTTATTGAGGGAACTTCTGGTACTGTTACATCTCTGAGCAGCGTCACACAGAATGTGAAAAAACTTCTGGTGTTAGCGAGCCAAGGCACATGTGGAAGAAGACTCAGATTGAAGAACTGTGTCCAGGAAGAGACAACCAGATCCAAACTGTCCTTCGACAAATGAACATAACGAGAATCAGTCATCCAGTGCAGCTGATCATTCCTTTGAATTGACCAGGGTGGGGAGGATGTTGGGAATTGAGGCTTCTTTCCCCTTTAATTCTTTGACTTATGATCCATCCCTGCATATGCTTGCCAGTAAACACTTCCTTGATGTGACACAACAGCAGAGGAGCTGTCCTAGGCAATGAGACAGTAAACACTTGTCCGATATATCTATCTATATATATATATATATATATATATATATATATATCGGCTGTGGCAGTGGTGTTGACAGAAGCCTGTGGTTAGCCAGCACAGAGAGATGGACAGTTTTACAGTTCTACACTCTAGTGAGAGTTGTTAACACAAAAGGACTGACTATGAAATGACTTTTACAACATTTGTGTTATAGTTACATTGAATTGTAGTTATGACATTGAGTAATAAAGTGACGTTGCAAGAATATGCCTCAAGGTCTTGTTCCACGACACCCATGAAACTAGTCAGGCTGATTAAAATGTGTTTAAACAAAATGTATGGTGAAGCCCAAATAGGTAAACATTTATCTGATGATTTTCCTATCCAGAATGGTCTAAAACAAGGAGATGCTTTATCACCACTGCTTTTCAGCTTTGATTTAGAATATGCAATTAGGAAGGTTCAAGAATACCAGATGGGACTGAAATTAAATGGGGCACATCAGCTGTTGGTCTGTGCTGATGATGTGAATCTCTTGGGTGATAACATAGATACCATAAAGAGAAACACACAAAATTTAATTGATGCTAGAAAGGTCTAGAAGTAAACGTAAAGAAAACTAAGTCTATATTGCTATCTCATCACCAAAATGCAACAAAAAATCATGACATAAAGATACATAGGTAACAGATGTTTTGAAAATGTGGCACAATTGATATATTTGGGAATGACTATAAGAAATCAAAATCTGATTAAGGAGAAAATTATGAGGAGATTGAACTTGGGTAATGCTTGCTGCCATTCAGTTCAGAACCTTTTGTCTTCTCATCTGCTGTCTAAAAACATAAAAGTTAGAATATACTGAACTATAATTTTGCCTGTGGTTCTGTATGATGTGAAACTTAGTCTCTGACATTAAGGGAGGAACATAGCCTGAGGGTGTTTGAGAACAGGGTGCTGAGGAGAATATTTGGGACGAAGAGAGATGAAGTGACAGAATGTTAGATAAAGCCACATAATGAGGAGCTTCATAACTTGTACTCTTCTCCAAGTATAATTAGAATGATCAAGTCAAGAAGGATGTGATGGGCATGGCATGTAGCATGAATGAGGGAGAAAAGGAATTCATATAGATATTGGTTGGAAAGCCAGAAGGAAGGAGGCCACTGGGAAGACCAAGTCATAGGTGGGTGGATAATATTAAAATGTATCTTAGATAGGATGGGATGGTATGAATTGGATTGGCCTGGCTCCAGGATAGGGACCAGTAGAGGGCTCTTGTGAATCTGGTAATGCACCTTCAATTTCTATAAAGTTCTGGGAATTTCTTGAGTAGCTGCACAGTTGCCAGCTTCTCAAGAAGTTATCAGCTCCAGGAGTGAGTAATATAACACGTGTTTATTTTCAGGCGTATTCCTGTGAATCCTCTCTATGTAAACATGGTGCTCGGGCGACTTAGGTCAGATGATGTATATAATCAGATTTCAGCCTATCCTTTCCCTGAACATCGCAGCACTGCACTGGCAACCCAGGCAGCCATGCTGTATGTTTGTCTCTTCTTTGCACCATCTATTCTGCACACACATACTGCCAAGATGCGAGAAATTGTTGATAAATACTTCCCTGACAACTGGGTGAGTGTCAGCATCAAGGTTTTGTCTTTTGCAAAATAACTATCAAGTTCTCATATTTGTTTTGGAATTGCATAACCTGTGAAGCTGATGAAGTATTGTTAAATGACTTATGAAGCGAAAGAAAAATTGCCATGCCAACAGGATGTTTTCTTAGATTACTGTTTGGGTTATTGAGTTAAACTTTCCTGCTGCATATGTTACACACTTGCAAATCGTTGAGTGATTTTGCATGATAGATTACAAAGACATCATGTCCTCTTTTAAGATTCTGTCCCAGCATTTGCATGAACAAAAAAAAAAGTCTGCGAAAAGCCTTAGCTGGTCTCTAGACCAAGATTTAAGCTGAAATTTCAGAATCAAGACCAGACAGAAGAGGGAACCATTAATTGTATAAGTTGTTATTAAATTATGAATTATGTTTGTTTTGTATTAGAACATTAATTTGTTGTTTAGGTTATAAGCATCTACATGGGAATCACAGTGAATTTGATTGACTCTTGGGAGCCATATAAAGCGGCTCGTACAGCTTTGAGTAACACTCTTGACTCGTCCAATGTGAGGGACATTTCTTCCCGCTATGCCAGCAGAATGCAGGTCAGAACCTCAGTTTAACTGTCTGTATTATTAATGGGGGCTGGGAAAGCTCATTTTGTATGGCAACTGGCTACAGGTTGGACATCCAATGAATTGAGCTTCATTCTGTAGCATCATCTGTACTTGCTTTGGGATGCATCCAGCCTCTTCGTAAGTGGGCACTGGAATTTTTTCTGCAGGGGTGAAGTGGCCAGGGTGTGAACCTGATTACTGATCTCTATCTAGTGCTGAAGTTAGGGTACATCCAATTTCCCATATGTCTTTATGGCATAGTGGTTAATTAATTAAGCATGGGGACAATTTTATGTAAGAATTTGTAGAAAAGTAAACTACAACTTCTTCATAGGGATTGAATGTTTATGGTATTGCATTATGTTCTTTTGTCAAGTGATATTATTCTGTCATCTCAAATTCAAATATGCTTATGTACATTGTGATGTGGAAGAGTTGTATTTTTAGCAGTCACATATTTGGATGAAGCAAAGTTCACTAAACATACCTGTTTATTATTACTAATTTGTAGTATGTCCATTTATGGTAGTAAAATTGCACAACCATCCCAAAGAATTAAATATGGCATCCTGCCTTTAGAAACCTAACTTTTCAAAATACACTTTCAATACATTTATACACTAAGGGCAAGAGCACACCAAGGAAACTGGCAACCACAATGCAACTGAAATTTCCGAGAATTATCAGCCTGAGTTGAATACATGTTACTGAATGGAGCAGTGTTACCGTTTCCTCAATTTTCACTGCTCCATTCAGTAACATGTGTTCAACTTAGGCTGATAAGAATTCTCAGAAATTGCAGTTGTCAGTTTTAATGCTGTTCCTTTGCCCTAAAAAGCCAGTGCTGAAGCTGTGTTTCTTGTTCACTTTTCTGTGGTAAAATAATATTCCCAATTTACTGTCTGTCTTTCTCAGGTAACTTAACCCCCTGTATTCTTACTGCAGTATATCCAAATTCTGCTTCCTTTCCTATAACCAGTGAATGCCAAGTTTGTAACTGATATAAACTAACCTCAGAGTTCTGATTGACATGTCCTTCATACATCATCTAAGATGTTAAATGCAATTCTGAGGCCTTCGTAAAATTTGTAACATGGTTATGGGCCCTGTGACCAACCCCCAAGCTGAAGGACCATCCAGGTCTCTGTGACTGTTTATCCTCATATTTTAAGGCTGTCCCCTTCATTGCTAGACAGAGATGTTCTTTGCTGTGGTAGAGACCCAGTTAACATGGAAGGATGAGGCATACTGGTCATTTTTTTTACAAAAATTTTATGTGGAAGGGTAAGTTCTTTACTGAGAAATGTGACCATGGAAGAATTAATAAAAATGTGATTTACACTTCTTTGTTTTTGCAGAAACTAATACCGCATACTCAGCAGCTGTTGAAAGAAGGAGCATTGATTGAAGAGAATGTCTTAGATCATGTTAGCAAGGTGACGAACGTGGTTCGCGAGTGTAACGTTACTCTGCGTTGGCTCATGCTGCATGCATCCATGCCTGGTCCTGGTTAGTTTCTCATAATATCACATGTTAAGAAATTCATTGAATACAAGAGTATTAATTATCAGCTGAGGAAGAAATACAATATACTGTCTGTTATCCAGTCTAATGGTGAAGAAATAAATCATAAATAATCCAGAAACATGCTTAATCCAAAAGCATGTTTAGTCCTGAAACAAATTTAATCCACAATTGTCTTGTGTTTTAATGAGGTATTTATTTTACCATCAAGGTCATGATTTTGGCGAATACTAGCAAAGCTTGGTTGTATTGTGTGTGTGTTTGTGCTTGCATGTGTGTGTCTATATGTGGGGAGGGGGGAAGTTTGGTCTTTACATCTCCCTACAGCTTATTGGTACCCCTCATATCATTTGGTAGAAACACATACAGTAATAGGAAGAGGAGGAGAGATAGACGGGTGCCTGATACCGAGATACCTACTTCGGTACAATTTGGTATCTTATAATTTTTTAATAAATTCAATAAGTAACAGAAATTAAAGGGAAACATGTATTGATAATGCAAAACCAAGTTATCTACTCACAGATAGTCAAGTAGAGCTATGTAATGAAAGCATGTTGAAGAGAAGTGAAAACTGGTAAAAATTTAAGATGACAACAAAATTAACCTGTACCTAAACACTACATCATGAGTGTGTGTGTGTGTGGCAGTGGAGTTAAAGCTCCGTGCATTCTAAGCAATGGCACTAGATGGCGATTCATCAGCCTCACACTTCTAGATCCAGTACCCATTTCACAGGAGACTAAATAGCTCCCAGATCCAGTCTGGTTGCGGGAAGTGAAGAAGACAATTGTTATAAAGTTTCTTGTTGTTCCTTTGTGCCTATGTCAACTAATGATTATAAAGGCTTCAGATTGTTTACTCATAATTGTGATGAAATTATGGATCCCATGAAGTATCTAACCCATTAAATTTTGTGACAAATCAAATTTGTATCAAGTCTCTTTACTCACTGAGCTATTTCAGCTAACAATACTGTGTGAAAGTAATATTTGTTTCTGTTAACAGTGTTAATTAAACTATATTATTCTTAAGAACAAACACCTTTTATGAACATGGGAAAAACTTTCACAATACACTTCTGCTGACTGACTGAATAATGGGTTTAAAGTCAACTCAGTGGTAATGGTTATTCACCTAAAATCCACTGGTTATTCATGACTCTGCTTATAAAACCAAACAAATAATACTTGCATGTGATCGATTGATTATAGGCACAGTTTGGATTGATAATTGGATTTACTGCACACTTCATACATACAGCTCATTACTACAAGTGACTAGTGTGCTATTGCTAATTAATAATTAACAGATCTATATGCCATATTTTAGTACAATTCTGACAATTCTTGACAAGACTTGATACAGGCTAGATGACCAGGTTCAATTCTTGTCATAGGCAGAATTGTTCTCTTTGCCATCATATTCACACCATTGTTTTGGCCCAACCATTTTATTCTCCAGTCAGTACCAGTGATAGAGAGATGAAACATGAAATTGACTGTTAACCTTCTTGTCTAAAATGTGTGGAGTTTTGCTTTCATGCCCTTACATGCTGTCGTGGTGTGATGCTTATTCAGAGGAGAATTTTTACCTTTCCCTTTCCTTTGCATAAAATATCTGAAAGTTGATTCTTTCAATTCAGAAAATTACTTACTTTTGTTCCAGCTTGGGAAGGGAACAAACGATGCAAGCAGATTCGAGACCAAGTGATTGCTGATGCGAAGTACAGTCCTCTGCAAGTGTTTGAACTGTTGCTGAATACAGCACAATTTGAACTCAAGATTAGGGATATGTTCAAATGTGTGAGTTACATTATATTATGTTAACATATTTGTGGCAAGTTAGTTGTGAGAGCACATAATTCGTGTGCCACATGGGGTTTGTTAGCTCATCTGTTTCTGAAAGATGGCAGTTTCTGTTAGATGACTTCAAATTTTACATGTTAGGCATCATTACAAACAAGAGTTATCTCAGGATGTAAAATAGGAATTACCAATCCATACTCTGTGTCTGGTCACTAACACATGGTAGTATATTTACTCTCACTTTATCTCCAATTTGCTGCTTTTTTCCCCAGTAGTGGTAGTATACGTAAATTAATAAACTTAAAATAAAGAAAATAAATGTATTTGTGATTTTCATTTTTACTGTTTTGAAGGAAACTTTTCAACTGTGTATACCACATGGCTGTTCCGAGTAATAGGCAAAGTAAATACTGAACAAGGTGAAATTCAGTTGACCCCATATCTCCTTTAAAAGTCATAGTATTATAATAAACTGAGACAATTTGGGCAGTAAAGTGGTAACAGGTTCAGTTCCCTGCAGGTATGTAATCTTTCTGTTCATCACCACTGTATCCAGGCAAGCTCTGGGGCCAAACCATTTCTTATCTTACAGGTGCTGCAGTCTTTCCCTGTAGGGGAAGTGGTCAGTACATCAAGATGATCACTCAGTGGTATTTATAGAGCTTTACCTCCCATGCCTCCTGTATGCATAGACTTGCAGTCAACTTCTGTGTTTTATATATCATATTATTTTTATTCTATAATTTCATATAATGACTTGGAATTTTATTGTCATCTTCGCCATCCCACAAATGTGTACAGGTAAAGCATGTTCTATCTGTCTGCATGTTTCAGCTTTGAAACTGCCAAATGGATTTCAGTAAACTTTATTCATTTCCTGTTTGTAGCTGCTGATAGAGAAACAGAACAAGTGGGAAAAATACAAAAAAGAAGGTGTAGAGCGCATGATGGAGCTCTCTGAGGTGTTTTCAGGAATAAAACCCCTCACCAGAGTTGAAAAGAATGGTAAGTATAAATGGGAACGTCTTCTGCAATTTCTGATAGTCATTTATCATATTTACTTACATAATTTATGCACCCCTGTTTTCATACAAGAAATTATTACCCTCCCAAACTTTTAACAGATTTTTGTTTTAATAGATAGGAATAAATAATTACAAGTGTAATTTATGCTTTCACATTATGGCTACCCTCTCTGTTGTAGAGTTTCAGTTTGAACAGGTGCACATGGTTTGGTCTTCCAAAGTAATGCACACAAGTGTATATGCTTGCTCAGGTCATGAAATATAGGAAAGAGGACTTTATCTAACTGACAGTGATGATGATGATGATGCTGATGCTGATGATAGTTACTGTGATGGTGCTGATTGGCAGTTAACTTTGCAAATGTTTTTAGAGTGGAAGGGAAAGAGAGAAGAGCTAAGAAGCACACATTATGTATTGCTGCTTTCATGTGAACTGTAGATGTTATCAATATGAGGTGTTTATCGGAAAGTTCTCAGACTAGGTGAAAAAAGAAATGCTGGCTTAACTAACTGAATTTTGGCTGCCATCTCCTTCAAAATAGTCTCCTTGGGAACATATACAGCGATCCCATCATTTTTCCATGCTTCAGAAGTACTGTGGAAGTCATTTTTCTTAATGCTGTTGAGTACCGCTTGCAGTTCTCTTCGGATGTCAGACACTGTTTCAAAACGTCCCTTCAGTTTCATTTTCAATTTGGGAAACAAAGCGATACCACAGGGGCTGCGTCCAGCAAGTAGGGAGGATGGGGAGTGATAACAGTGCTTCTGTCAGTCAAAACTCTGTGGTTTTCAGGGATGTGTGGGTGGGCACATTGTGATGGAGGAGTAATATGGTGCATTTTCAGATTTTCTCTTAAGATCACCTGGCGAACTCCATAACTGATCGTAACGGTGTCTGAGAGCTCAGGTACATAATGAGAAACGCTTGGTTCCAAGTTCCATCAGTGTTCATACAGACATAATTAGGAGCCAAAGTGCATCCAGCAGAACGATAGTTTTTATTTGAAAAGCAGACATTCCCAGAAGGGAAGGAAGCATTTAAACCGAAGGTGAACTTTAGTATGGGACACCACCTCACTAAAGCATAAGCATAGCTATAATGGACATGGGGAAAGAAATTATTAAAAAAGAGGCTGGGTACTTCTACTAGATCTGTTAATTGGGTTGGTACCAATAGACATAATGGAATTCCAAACAACAGAAGCATATTCACTACCACCGCCATCATCACTGCTCCTTCCCCTCCTCCTCCTCCTCCTCATTATCATCCTATTTATTTCTTAATTTTTGTGTGCTAACTCAACAGGTATGGGAGCCAGTTACAGTGTTAAGACAATAAGACAAGTAAGTAAAACAATACACCCCATTCATCACTGCACTATGCTACCACATACTCTACTGAAAAGCTTATATCATGCAGACAGACACATGGCCTGCACTTTAAGAATAAATAAAATTTATGGGGTGCAACAAGGCGGTATTTTATCACTGTCATTGTTATTTAATGTCTTTATTGGGTGATTTTTATTTTGGTCCATTGTAACTTCAAATCTGACTTCATCTATGATGTCAAGAGCAGCTCATTGTACAAAAAATTTGCATATGACAAAATATAGATGACAAGTTTACAAAAGAGGTCACAGAGTAGCAGTCAAAAAGAAAAGCATGTCTGAAACTTGAAACAATGGAAGGATTCTGTCTTCTAATATCTGTGAAAGGCCACACAGTAAGTGTAGTACTGGAAAGGAAGGGGAGGAGAAGGCTGGTGGTGGTGGTGCAGTTTTCATCTTATTAAAATCTATGATGTTTGCATAACATTTAAGGTTTGATGTTCCTGTAGTAGTAGTTGCTTCACTTGTTTGGCTTATTTGTTAACCCTGAAGATGGAGGTGACATGTTCCTTCAAAACAATGATTGACTTTCAGCATACTACACATTCTTACCATGAAGTGTTTCTAGAAATAATACGTAGCTAATAAGGGGGGAGTGAAAAATAATATATCCCTTAGTACAATATCAGATCAGTGCTGTTTATTGTGTTTAATAATATTGAATTTGCATTTGCAGCAAATCAATATCAAATCCAATGAATCAAATAAAACTGAAAACAATTCAGTTAGGAAATATTAGTGTGTACTTTCACATTCTGTAATCTCAGTAACTTTGTGATTGTACTGTAACAGAAAATCTTCAGTCATGGTTTGGAGCAATGGGGAAGCAAATTGACTCTTTGAAGCATGAAGATGCAACAGTATCAGGCAGAAAGATAGTTCAGCTTATTCAGGCTCTTCAGGAAGTTCAAGGTAAGATAAAAACTGCTAAGTATGAGGACAGTAGATAGAGTCAGGTAGTCATCTGCCCTACCATTGACTTCCCATAATGTTGTATAATACAGAAATATCTGTATATGGTGGCCCATCTTGCAGTGGAGCCTAATGAATGTTGCATAAATTGGATGTGGAACCATTCTGAACTTTGGAAACATAATAGTTCCCCATCCCTATTGAAAGTACTGCAATGTAGCCTGACATGAAGGATAGCATTTGGTATGTATATCGTATAATAGTGACCAATTTCAATAAAATACCATATACTAAGTATCCAGCAACTTTTTTTTTCTTAATTTTCTTAGTTGTAATCCATCTTTCCATCAGATCGGACATTTACACAACAGAGTCGCCTGTCAGATAGTATCAAATATTATATAATAACATACAACATAACGAGCCTCCGAACACCACATCAGCCATTGTGTATATAATATGTCCGTATAAACATTACATATATTACAATTACAACTGCCAACTTCCAAATACCATCACATATACAACTTTTAACTGTACTTTTGACTATGTAAATGGTTATTTTAAGACTTCAACTTTTATTCTAATTTACATTTTATATTTACTCATATTTTATACCATTGCATACATTTGGAAGTTTAGTACTGTATTTTATATTTGACATGCAATTCAATGAAAGAAAGTTTAGTATATTTGCCTGATGATGGCCTCTTAAAGGCCGAAACATGTAGCAAAAATATGTCCTAGAGCTGCTTACACATATTACTGATTGTTGTGTTGTGACAGTTTTCAGTAAGAAATAATATATGATACACAGCAGGATGCATTCACTGAAAATTCTTCCAGTAATTCTTCATTTTCGGTAATCTGGCAGTACCTTGGTCCCATATATGTCGGATTACTAAGATTGTACTGTATTTTAGTTAATTATTAATGTCTGTCTTACTGGTAATTGTAGTATGTTGAATCAACCATTGGCACAAACTTTAAGAGATGTGCATGCACATTTGTCTGGTACTATTAATAAAAAACTGATTCCTCATCAGAGTTCCACCAGCTAGAAAGTATTCTACAAGTGCGCCAGTTCCTGGCAGATACAAGAAACTACCTGCATCAGATGATTCGTACCATTAACATCAAAGAAGATGTCCTCATCACATTGCAGATAGTTGGAGATCTCAGCTATGCTTGGGAAATTGTTGATTCCTACACCAATATCATGCAGGAAGGAATCAAGAAAAATCCTTCATTGGTCATCAAACTTCGTGCAACATTTCTAAAAGTAAGGGAGAAAGTATAATGTGGGCACACATCCACCGTGTTATAATTCTGCAGCTATTGCTAATTATATTTCTTCCTTGATCTCTCCCCTCCCCTTTATCACATTCCTCTATTTTCTCCTTTCAGTTTTGTTTTTTGTCTCCTGCTTCCTCCTCTTCTTTTCACTCTTCTCATCTGGTTCTTTTCATTCTGCTGCCATGGGATTGATTCTGTTGATGGATGAGTCAGTAGAAGGAAGACTCTGGATATTTGTTACTCATTAATTATTTCAATAGGCTAAAGGTGATGCTTTCAAATGAAGTCAGAAATCATCTTACAACCTTTATGAAACTATCGTCATCCATTACCATTTCCACCAACGTGAATTTTCCTATGGCACAAACCTTCTCCATTTTTCTCTATCGTCCTGTAAAGTGCTACTGTTCTGTCTTTTTCCATTTGTTGCCTCCTTTGTTTTGTGTACCCTACCATATTGATCTCTCTTTCCTTGTTCTTGGTCTTGTGGCTTTTATTCAGCATTTTTTAAGCTGTGTAGTGAATCCTGTAGTCATTTGTGCATAACATGCAGTCATTCCATAGTATGCTTAATTTGACCAACTGGTCTTGTCATATTTCTATATCTTAAGTAATTCCCTGGTTCCATGCTTTATTTCTTCCATTATAATTCAAATTCTATTTTTTTTTTCAGTTATCTTCAGCACTAGAAATTCCTCTGTTACGTATCAACCAAGCACACAGTCCTGATCTGGTATCAGTGTCACAGTATTATTCTGGTGAACTGGTTGGATATGTTCGCAAAGTACTGCATATTATCCCAGAAACAATGTTTGGATTGCTGGCTCGAATAGTTTCCCTTCAGACATCAGTCATCAAAGAGCTGCCTACTCGACTTGATAAAGATCGCCTCAGGGAGTATGCACAGCTTGAAGATCGACATGAGGTTAGTAATGAAGATCTACTTTATTATGTCAAATATCATCACACTAATTATTTACTAAATTACTTTGGTCAAGTGGGATTTGTGGTGGACAAAGTGGCGCTGGGGCAGGATTTCTCCGAGTACTTCGGTTTCCCCTGCCAATCTTCATTCCGCCAATTGCTCCACAATCACCCTCACCTATCATCTGGGGCTGGTACAATAGACGAGAAGTGGCTGCAGTACAAGGGACTTAGTCCCACCCCTCTAGCATTAAAAAAAATTACTAAATTAATTAGACAGGTATCCCTTGACATTTTGAGGTAATTTGTTCCATGAAGATTGTTCATAAGTTGAAAAGTCATAAATCAAAAATTACATTCCCATTAATTTACATGAAAAAGTTGCCTATGGATTCATGAGTCCCAGAAATTACCATGCAAATGATGCCTGTCAGTTGCACCTATTCATGGCTAGGAAACAAACGTAGACTGCATGTCAGTGTGGTAGCAACAGCAACAGTGTAACCAGCATTAGTGTACTGGCAGGTCTGCTTGCTGCAAAAGCAATAAGGTGCTTGCTAGAAGCTTATAAGTTCCCACTTCTCCAAATATTTGTTCTTCTGCCTTTGCCAAAAAGTGTATGTGTATGTATGTATATATAATGTGTGTGTGTGTGTGTCTTCCAAATGTAAGACTTTTATTATAGCGAAAATGAAGTTCGTGAAGTGAAAAAGTGGTGGAAATTAACACACTTCTTTGTAACAAAAATTTGTAAAATGAGGGATACCTATATTATGTAATTTTCTCACAATTTTTGCACCCTAATTTTTAAGCATATTCATAACTTCATGGAGTGCCTATTAAATTGTCTCCATCCATCTATATGTACGCATGGAAGAACTCAAGAAATGGTGATCAGATATGCATGATATCTGATATTGAGGAGTTTGTTTGTTGTCACATTCCAGTTTTTTTTTTAAATCAGACAAATAACAAACCACATGAAGACTTATGTGCATATCTGCATGTATCCCAAGTGTAACTTGCTAAATATTGTTGAAGTGCAGATGTTTCAAATAGAATGTGGAAGCATTTGAAACACATTTTATGTCCAGTACACCCTCCATAAGTTTTATGGTTTTAAAGATGGTTAAAGAAAATGGATGCTGTGCATATATTTTCTAACATATTATTTTCAGTACTGAACAGTAGTTTTCCAAGCGCAATTGAAAGTTGCTGAATCTCATGATGATCATTTTTGGGGCATAAGCAAATTAAGTCTTAGTACCCATAGGCATACTAAATCTCTTATTCTCAATAAAAATTGATCCATTCACATCTGTAAGCACATATGTGTAGTGGCCTGAAACTGGCATCTTACTCAGAGTACATAAATTCACAAAGCATATGTTCCTTCATCTTTCATTAAGTTGGAACAGTTTTTGCTTCTGTGCCACAGCTTGTTATGTTGACATCTGGTGGAGTGGAGAAATTTATAACCAATACTAATGTTTACTGTAGGTTGGAGTTTTGGTTCATTTTGATGAAAATTTGCTGATAGTACAGTTATTGCTCAGGAATATGTTTCGTGATGCAGATCATGTTAATTTTTTTTTTTTTAATTAATTTCTAGTGTTCCATGTATATAAATATATATTTAATATTGAAATATAACTGATTATGCTGCTAAAATATTTTGCTCTCAATCATAATAGATCAGTATGCATGAAAGGGAATGCTTCAATTGTTTAAGGAAAATGGCAGTTAAAAAATAAAAAATTGTTCCTTGAATTTGGGCTGTGTTGAAATCATACTTGTTTTATTCTTTAAATGTAGTTTTCTTATACAGTATGACTTTGAAGCATATATTAAGCAGGTTTCTTTTTATGCACATAATTTTCTTTAAGAGTGTATAATAACAGTGAACAGTGACTCCTTAAAGCTATTGCAGTTTATTCAGTACAGGCTTACATCATTAAGTTCTATCCCATTTGAGTGTCAATAGTTCATATATGCATGTGAATTTAGTGTTTATTATAAGGGTAGAGTTAATCATAAGTGAAGACCACAGTTATCAGTGATTCAGCACATTAAATATTTACATTGTCTGCTGTTACATACAAGGTGTGGCAATAAAGAAACCGGATTCATGCTCTAACCCTTTATTAAAAAAAAATCAGACAGTCGAAATGTTATCCCCTTCAATGTAGTCCCCTCCCCGATCCCTACACCGCTCCATGCGAATTTTCCACTGTTGGAAGCAGTGCTGCAGGTCATCTTGTGTTATGCTCTTCAAGAGTTGCGTCGCTTTTGCTTTCACTGCATCCACGGACTCGAACCTGGTCCCTTTCAGCGCAGACTTGATTTTTGGGAAGAGAAAAAAGTCGCACGGTGCTAGGTCCGGAGAATACGGTGGATGTTCCATCACTGGAATGTTGTTTTTTGCCAAATACCTCTTCACAGATAGCGCGTTGTGTGCTGGCGCGTTGTCGTGATGAAGAACCCATGAGGCATTCTTCCACATGTCTGGTCTCCTTCGTCGCACACGTTCACGGAGGTACGTCAAAACATTTTTATAATAAACCTGATTGACAGTCTGACCTTCAGGCACCCAATCAATGTAGATTACCCCCCGGATATCGAAAAAAACAATCATCATTGCTTTGAATTTGGACTTGCTCATGCGCGCTTTCTTCTTCCTAGGGGATTTGGGGCTCTTCCAATGCATGGATTGTCGCTTAGTCTCTGGATCATATTGAAGAATCCAAGTTTCGTCACACGTAATTACGTTTTGGAAGAAATCAGGATCATTTTCAATGTTTTCAAGAGTGTCAACACAGCAATTCACTCGATGTTCCTTTTGCTGGGGGGTAAGGATTTTTGGCACCACTTTAGCACACACCTTTTTCATGCCCAGATCGTCGTGCAAAATCTGTCTAACACTTTCCTTATTGATGTTCGTAAGTTCAGAAATTGCTCGAATGCTCAGTCGACGATCTCTTCGAACAATTCTAGCGACCTTCTCCACATTCTCTGGAGTTTTCGCAGTGGGAGGACGGCCCGATTTTGGATCGTTCCCGACGTTTTTCCTACCCTCCATAAACTTCTTAAACCACTCGAAAACTTGCGTGCGAGATAGACACTGATCACCATATACTTCTGTCAACAAATTGTAAGTTTCAGTGGCAGATTTTCCAAGTTTTGTGAGGAATTTGATGTTAGCACGTTGTTCTGCATTAGCACTCAGCATTATTCCGACGGAGCTCAGAAACACGATCCGCTTCTAACAATGGTCGCGGCCAGACTAACCGATGCACGTGAATGAAACTTTGTGTGACGGTAGAGGGAAGTCCAAGGGTCAATGCCCTACCCTCCTCTTCGTCAATGACGTGGCCGGAAATGAGTCATAAAAGTAATCCGGGTTCTTTATTGCCACACCTTGTATTGGTAAAGGTGTTCCTATGCTTAACTAATGAAGCACCACTCCATGAAAAATTGCTGAGGAGTGGAGGTATTTCTCCATAATTCTTGACCTTTGCACTAGATGTAGATGAGTGGTCATATTCACACCCTTGCTGCTTTACCCCTTGAGAAAGAGCCCCATTACTTATTGGATAATTACAGTTGATATTACAAATCAAGTAAGGACCCCCCACCCCACCTTCCCATGATACGAATTGTCTTTGTATGAATATTTAATTTTCAGTTTATCTAAAATGTCGCACTTCCAGAATTACAGAATATTTCTTTCTCTCACAAGTTGCATGTTATTTTCTTGTTGGTCAATTGAAAGGCCTGGATGTTAGTATGTCTTATAATTCCTTCTGCTCAGTGTGTCTGTTAAGTGTAGGCTGTATCCCATTAGTCTTCTTTTGTTTGGAAGTTAAGGTAATAGTAAATTCTTGTGTACTTTTCACATTCTGTTCATGTATACAGCAGATGTTGACTCTGAAGCCCCCAGGAAGGGATAGCAGTAAGCATAATATCCAGGCTTGAGGAGTGAGCTGTAACACATCATGAAGTTGGGTTCTGATTGTTTTCTCCTATTTGCTACAGGTTGTGAGGTGACCTTACTTGCATATATGTTAAAGAACATGCTGTGCTGCACACACAAAAAAAAGACTGTAATGACAGGACAGTTGGTATTAAACAGGTTGTCTCAAGCTGATGTCTAATGTTTTCCACAGGTTGCTAAGTTGACCCATTCTGTTTCCATTTTCACTGAAGGCATCTTGATGATGAAGAGTACCTTGGTGGGAATTATTAGAGTGGATCCAAAGCAGCTTCTAGAGGATGGGATTCGTAAGGAGCTGGTAAAGCACATTGCAACTGCCCTTGATAATGGACTTACCTTCAACCCAAAGGCCAAGGTAATGCTAAGAGCTCCACCACTCAGGTAGTTTTCAGTTATTTTCACGTACATTCAGTCTTCAGTATTAGGAACATCTGATGTACGCATGGTTGGTTATGGTTCTCACATCTTGCCTCATCCACTTAGTGCAATCAGCCTCGGCTTTTGTTGGATAAATTCTGCATTAAGATATATGTGACTTCTTATGGTCAGCTATAAATAGGCAAAATTCAGTAAAAGGTTAATTATATTAGGTGAAGTGTGCAAAATATGTATCTATAACTATCTTTTAAAATTTCTTCTGTGATCTGTAAAGTTGTAGAGTGTTTGTAATTGTGTAATTTTTTATGAGTATCTCATGAATTGTATTTCAGCTGATATTTATCTGCTGTTATCGGTCATTGTTTATATTCCATTGTTTGGAATAGTAAAATAGTTAAAAGAGATGTAAGGGCGTTAAGATTGTTCATAGAATACTTTGTTATTTTTTAGACAAGTGAACTGGTGGGAAAGTTGGAAACTTTGGGGAAAATAATGGATGGACACCGTCGCTCTTTTGAGTACATCCAGGATTATGTAAATATTTATGGGTTGAAGATTTGGCAAGAAGAGGTGTCACGCATTATTAGTTACAATGTGGAGCAGGAGTGCAACAGTTTCTTGCGTAACAAGGTTCAGGATTGGCAGAGTGTTCATCAGAGTAAAACGATACCTATCCCAAAATTTCCTCCCACGGATAGTACATCTGTTAATTTCATTGGACGCCTGGCCAGGGAATTAATACGAATCACTGATCCCAAGTAAGTATACTGACCTTTCAAACTGACCATTCGTTAGTCATGTAATCCCCCTCCTTCCATATATTTGAGACCTGAAATATAGGAGGGAGGGTGAAAATTATGTGAATTTTATTGTTAATCCACATGTAGAATGAACTCGTGACCTTCCGGCTTGTAGCATAGTGCCTCAACCAAATACACTGCCACGTGCCCCTGCTATGGCATCTGCAATTTCCAAACAAATTTTTTTCCTGGCCAAAAACTGTTGGATGTGACCCTAGAATTATAGGATATCTATACAGGCCTGATTGACAGTGTTAGACACATGATGAAGAAAAATATGTGCATGAGAATTTTGTTTTAAAAATTGTAAGTCAGTAGAAAGGCTGGAAGGGAACAATAAAATTCATACATTACTAATTTATTACTGTAAAAAAAAAGTAAAGCTATCCCTGTACCAGGCCGTGAAGGCCCAAATTTGGATATTCTTTTTATAAATTTGAAGTTTATTTATTTAAAGAAAATCACTGTCTTGGTTTCTTGTGCTTAACTGTTATTACTAAATAAACCAAGAACTTACCAGCTGAATTCCTGAAAAAACATGACATTAGTTTATTTTTTTTGTTTCTTAATTTGCAGGACAACAATCTATATTGAACACATGACAGCCTGGTATGATGTTAAAACACATAATGAGGTTATAAATATGAAATTCTTCTCCAAAATTACCAATTCAGTGGGAACAGCAGGTTTAACTGGACTTGATCGTCTTTTTTCCTTCATGATTGTCACAGAATTGCAGGTATGCGATTTGATCTGTTGTGTTTCATTTCACTTGTTGACAGAAGTATTATCATGGCATTGAAGCATTTTTTGTTGTGGTCTTGGATATATATAAGAATGGGCTGCAGATATGCCTTATTTGCCCAATTTTAGATATTACAGTTTTTCCCTGATTCATTATCTAAAAAATGGGTGGTCTTATAATTAGACACGAAGTTCCAAGAACCTATGTCTCAATATTTTCAGGATGGATAGTACAGCTCTATTGTTGTATTAGGTTTATTGTTTTATCATGTATTATGGGACCTTGTATGTGGCAACATTAATCGGTAGGTGAATGCTTTTTCTTTAGTAGTAGTATTGTGCAGTGTTTCTAGACTGCGTAGTACATCTTTTTCACAGCATCAAGATGGTCCCATTGGCCCTCATTATGTATCTTGGACATGGACCACACAGGAAACACTGTTTCCAACATTTTCTCTATTACTGCATGCATATTCGTTGCTGCAGGAATGTATTTACCAAGCCATTGTTTACTAATGGATATCTTCTCAGGCTCACTGTCCTGGCTTTCAGACATAATCTTACAATGTTTTTAGTATCCTAGATTGAATATCTCTGGAGACCTGCAACATTGCTTCAGGTTTTCATCAATTTCTTATAGGCAGGTGGTAGGTTAGAATGGTCATGACCACTTTCAGATCAACATTCATCATAATCCATGACAAATGTCATTTGTTTCATTCTGGTCTGTCACACTAACANGTTTTTACTACGTTAAAACTTATCTCCCATACATGTTTCAGTCCTTACGGGCCATCTTCAGAGGGAACATCATTACAAACTGGAAACTACCATCACAATAGGTGTTTTGATTTAAAATACATACACTTATATCCTATAATGCACGGTACGCGTGAAGTCAAACGTTTCACAATCACAGCAGCTTCCTGGGATTGTAAAGTTTTTAAAAGTTTCTAGATGTTATTTAAAAAACTTTTATTGTCAATAGTTAATTTTTTTTTATTTATAAAACTTATATGTCACATTGGATGGCGTGGTTTGTATTTATAATACATGTCACTTCATAATGTTCCTCCAAAAAGTCAGTACTTTTACCACTTGAATGTGGTGCAATACGCAGAAGATTGTAATAACTAATTAAAAATATTTCACTTCAATAGTTGTCATAGGTCAGTCAGTAAAGTGGCTTCAGGATGACCACAGGTTTGATTCTAGGTAGGGGCCCTTTTCAGTGCCAAGTCTACAGCTCTAGGCCTCACATATCCTCTTGTTCCATGGGTATAGAGGCCCTTTTCCAATGGTATAGTTGGTGGAGTGTGAAACTGAGCATTTGCTTCCTTCTAGTGCTAAGCTCTGAAATGTGTGGAAGCTTTATTTCCATGTCCCTCATAGCATTGTGCTTAGACACAGAGAACATTTTTTCTTTACCTTTTATAGGTTTCCATAGTAATGAGGTCCCATGTGAATTGATATTCATGGTATACTCTTTTGAAGACAATTCTGATTCAGTTTTTTTTTATTTGATGCTTTTCCCTCATTTAGGATATGTAGAAATACTGATTTTTCAGACATTATCCGTTGTCTGTTTCTTATTTAAAAACGTTTTGGAGGTAGAGAACAATCTGCGAAATGTTGTTCTTAAGCAAGAACCAGGACAATAGGTGATGTCTGAAAAGTCAGTAATTATATAAATATACCATCGTCACAGACTTTCAGGTTTTGTTTCAGTGATACCTGGTGAGTAATCTTAGTGTTAAGTTTCCTTCATTTATGGTTTTCTTCATTTTTATGATTATACCCAGTGGCTCCCAAAGACACGAAACTCACTCATGGAGATGAGGCTTTCTTGAGAAGTTGCCAAATGTGCAGCTACTCAAGAACTTCCCAGCATTTTATGGAACCTGAAGGTTCATTGCCATGTTCACAAAAGCCCTCCACTGGTCCCTATCCTGAGCCAGATCAGTCCTATCTCTCTAAGATCCATTGTAATATTGTCCACCCACTTGCGTCTTGGCCTTCCCTGTGGTCTCTTTCCTCCTGGCTTTACCACTGATATCCTATATGCGTTCCTCTTCTCCCCCATTTGTACTGCATGAACTGCCTATCTCATCCTCCTTGACTTGATCATTCTAATTATACTTGGAGAAGAGTACAGGTTATGAAGCACCTCCTGCTGTCCAAAAATATACAAATTAGAATATACAAAACTATAATTTTGCCTGTGGTTCTGTACGGGTGTGAAACTTGGTCTCTTACATTAAGGGAGGAACACAGAGTGAGGGTGTTGAGAATATTTGGACCAAAGAGAAATGAAGTGGAAGACACTAAAAGCACATGTTGTTATTGTTGCATAAAATATTAAAATGGCATAAGCATTGAAAATATGCTTATTTTATTTTTCTCACCTCTTAATGCTAATTAATGCTGGAATTATTATTAATTTATTGCCACTATATAGACTGTCATATTTATATTTTGTTTTTTAGTTATTTTTGTGTATTTCTGTGTACTTGTGCTAACTTTATAATTGGCCTCTGTGCTGTTAAGTTTGCACGTAAATAAACATGAATTGAATTGTTGTTGCTATATTTTTCAGAATTATCTGAATGCCTTGCAGAAAGGAGTTTTGAAGGACAAAGCTTGGCTTGAGATGCTTGCAGTTGTTTCCAAAGGACTCTCTCCCTCTTCTGCTATCATCAGTGAGTAAAGTAAACACTACTAAAATCTGAGACTGTTGTAGTTAGGTTTCTTGTTTTATTTGTGTATAAAATGTACTAGCTTCAAATCTCATTTTAAGTGATACAAAGATGTGGCCAAGATTAAGCTTGGATTGGATAGGATCCAGTGTTGGATTCCATAAGACTCAGAATAACTGTCTCATCAGAAAACTAATGACTCTTTGAGGATTATTCTGTACCTTGACATTTGTTAAGAATTCAGTCACATCTTCAAAAACATTTGAAACTCTGCCTTAGTTAAATCTTAGAACATATAATGAGACCAGTACTCTGGTTTGCAGGTAATCCTGGACGATTTTACTCACAACATACATCACGTGCACAGAGAGTTTGGCCTCAGATTTTGGATCGGGTATTGAAAGTTGGACAGATGCAGTTGCTGAGGAAACATATAGCATATGAACTCAACATTTCTTGCAAATTTGACTCAAAACACCTGGCATCAGCTCTGCAGGTTATGAATGAGTATGTACAAGTGTTTGTTATTTGAAATTTACACTGCTTAGAACCTGCCCCATCCTCTGCACTGGTTGGTAGACTGAAACTTATAGTTTGGCTGGGTATATTGTATAATTAAGTACTGATGTACTTCTGGTATTAACTAGTAGGGTTAAACTGAATATGAATAATGTGAAAATTCTTGTAAGTGGGGGACAGTTTATTCAGTAAAATGGCTGACAACAAATTGGATGAATTTGATTCCAGCAAAGACAGGAATTTTTCTCTATGCTGTCATGTTCAGACTGACTGTCCCTGTTCAGTGTGTATCAGGAGTAAAGCATTTGAATTGTGAAACAAGTTCCTTAAGAACGCATACAAGAGCATATGAAATAATTTTTCTTCCAAGGATATGGAGTTTGTAAGATGGTTTCACTTCCCCATTTCTGAGGGTTACCGCACATCCTAAACTCTCTGTCTTCTTCCTAACTACGCAGTTTGTCATGCCATTAAATGCCATGAAAGGCAAGTACAAAGAAATAGTAATGTTCAACACAGGCTGTTCAGTCACTGACAGGAAATGGAAAAGAAATTTTTAGTTATAATATAGAAACTTGCCCAGCTTTATTAATCTAAGTAGAATAGAAAGATAACCATAATTTGATTTGCAGCATGAATGAAGCCATGTACATTTACTGATCTCCTTGCTATTCAGGGTGTCAGTTAAAGTGATGATTTTAGTATTACCATTTCAGTGCACTATTGGCTGAGATTGAAGCCCATTACAAGGAACCATCAAAACCATACCCAAAGGAGTCAAACCCTCTTCTGTATGAACTCTCAACATACCTTGACTGGGCTGGCATTAGTAACCCTTACATGAAGATCTATGTAACCACCAAGAATCTGGAGTACTTTTCAGTACTGTCATTTCTCTTTGTGGTGTCTCAGCTGCCCAAACTCACCTATGCTAAAACTGTAGGTAAGTTGATTGCACTTTATTGGCGCTTATTTCACATCTCTTGCTGGGAACTAACTGAGGTTATAATTATTTATATTTTATCACATTGAGGGTCAGAATTGCATTATTGTGTCCTGATATGCATCAGTATCCTATATATATATATATATTTTTTTTTTAATTGCTAACAATGGATGCTTGTTGTTTTGCCACCTGGACCATTGTAAATACTGTGGACTCTTAGTATCTCCATTTATTTCATCAAGACGGCAGGTGAGAGTGTTATTCCAAAACTAAGTTGTGCCAAGCCAAGGTGGATGAATCAAAATGACTACTTATGTACGAGTATGTGAGGGAAGTAAATGTGGAATTATTTGCTGGGGGTGACTTCAGATGTAAATAAAAATCGTTATAGTAATAATAAATTTCCTAATTAATAGTGATAGTAGAAATAGCATGGATTTGTATTAGAAGAAGAACATCTTGTTAGACATCAGTGTATTGAACATACTGAGCAAAGATGGGTTGTGTTTTATGAATAAAGATGATAGTCTTGTTTAAGTTGTGTAAATGTAAGTAGTACTAAATTTTCCATAGGCTTTCCCCTACATTCAAGCCTAAAAATCATTCAGACTTGTTTACTAATTCATGAGTTATGATTTTGTAAAATGTAAAATGTGATCATGAACAACTAGATTGGGCCAGTCATGAATGGCTTGAAAGTACTATATTTAACAAAGTGCAAGATGAGATTTGTTCACAGTTTTTGGAGTTAGAAATGGTTCTGTGAAATAATATAATCAGTGTTTTTAACTGTGTTAGTAGGTTGATGTTTGTAAGATGTTATACAGTGTATGCAAACATTGTGCTATATTGCTAGCAAGCAAGAGAGAGACATATATTTGGCTCAAGATCAGGAGCAGTATGCTGCAAGAAGTTTGCTTGAAGTGCTGCTGAAAGTTATAGGAAATAAACATAAATATATTTCAAGGCCAAGAATCAGTAACCACTGATTCACTGGCTGCCGCATGGGGACTGTAAATATGATGAAGCTGAAAAACAAGATGGGAATGGCAGAGAGAAACAGACTTCAGTGATGAAACTAAATAAAGGCTAGGAACTTACCAAATATGAAGAGGAAAACTGATTTAGTAAATGCAATGGATAACGGTGTTTTGAAATATTTATAATGTTATGTGTTTTCTTATACTAAATGTATGAAATGAATACATAAATCACATTTTATATTCAAACATGTTTCTTCGTGGGAGGGGGTTTGTCTTCAGAGTCATCTTCCTTGTGGGTAAATACAAATTAGTACTTTTAGAGAACTAGAAAGCACTGGGTGAAATTCATTGGAAATTATGACTTTAAACCAAGTTATAAGCTGCACTACATCCAAGCAGGAAGAATACTGGCTCAAATAAACTCTTGTCTTGGCCATGTATGGAAATGGTGGTAATATGTGGTGTGTGTTACAGAAAATGAGAATTTGCACATGATACAGTGTGACTGTGCAGAGTTTGTGTGTTCAACTCTGGCAGGAGTTGAATCACTTGTACAGAATTATTACTGAATTGAGACATTTTTTTGTTGGTGCACTATCTAAAACTTACATTAATGAAAAGTAAGAGAAATATTTTTCTCTATGCCTCTATGCAGACAGGAACTATAGGTCTCTTCAGGCAACAGTTTCTAGGAAGAACTTACAATGCCTCCATTCATTTGAGTGTTTCAGCCTAATGATGAGGCTAGCAAGAAATAATATATTTATAAAAATTAAATTTGGTGATCCATATCTATGCAAAATGTTGAATTATCAGGTATGACATCAGTGTCTTGCACCATTGGCATGTGTGTGATTATTAACTTATAAAAGACTGTTTTGTACAGAATTTATAGGCATATTTAAGGTGTATTTCTATACAGAATTTTATCAGCTTAGCTCAGCTTAGATGGTAATATGGAAGTATTTGAAGTTCATTGTTAAGGCAGTATTCATTCAATAATATTTGAAATGTGTATGATTGATTAATGTTCAGGAAGTCTGATCAGCCGTCGGGTACAAGATCAAATTGATGGAGTCCCATTTATTGTTGGTGTACAGACATTACTACGACAGTTCCATCCAGAAATACGTAACCAGTTCATGTTATACCTTGGTCAGTATGTCAAGTCATACATGGAGACTGCTATAAGGTAATTTTCATTGTATGGATATATGTAGGGCAGTCAAAGAGTTCCTGGAATTCCCCTACAAATGGAGAATGAGCAATAAGATAGCGCACACACTGTTGTGGGGAGCTCAGCATGTCTGCTTTCAGGCACAACAGGTCTGGACGGGTTCAGTGTGCAGTGTTGCTGCTTCCAACAATGGCAGGATCGATGGAGCAAGTGTATGTGCGCGCAGGGGTCCTACTTTGAAGGTGATTAGGTAAGTGTTGCCATATGTCCTACCATTAGAGTGCTATACCACCATTCCGGGAACTTTTTGACTGTCCCTCGTACTATGTTACAGTGCTGTTTAGTACCTCAGTTTATTCTTTATTCTTGTGTTTCTTCACCAGTGTCTGTATATTGAGAGTGGTATTATTTTATTAATAGACATGAAAGTAGACACAGTTTAGGTATGTTTACAAGAAATGCTGAAGCATGGAAAAGATTACCATGGAAAGTCACAGAATTTCATACTCACCACCAAACACTGCTAATGAAATATTGAATTGGGATTTCTTATGTATAAAAGTTGTTTTCACTAAACTGGTTCAGTTCATGGAACATTAGTACTGCAGATATCTGTGTCTCATTATATTAATATCATTATTTGCTTTTCCTGTAAAGCTTCACATGTTCTTAACTAGTGTGCTCAATGAAGGTTAGTAGTCACATTCATGTTGTCTGCTTGGGAAACATTGGATAGGCACCTCACAATCTACCTACAGATCAGTAATTTGTGTTTGTAATTAAATCTTGTTTTATTATACAGCAGTGGCACTGGAAAAGCTACGGAGCTTCCAAATGAAGTGATGACAACCCTGTACTTTCTGGAAAGTTTTGCACACTACTCAGGAATCACTCGTAAGACACTTGCTGTCCACATTCCTGAACCTATCTTGGACCAGTACCAAATATTATCAACGTCTTGAATGATGGAGTCTTCAAGCAGCTGTAGTGTAATGTAGGCATCACAACCAGTGGGAAGTGATTGATCCATGCAGATGTGCAGGCCATAGTCAGTGTAGTCTTTTATCTCAGGTGAACAGAGGGTTAGTCAAATTAATTTGTACACTGAAAGTAGCAAAACCAAGTGGAATATGTATGGTGATAGTAGCTACAAATACCGCTACTGCATATTTGTTACATTCCAGTTAATACATTTACAATTGTAAGGCAGTTTTCCTGCTACTCTGCATCATACTAGCCTGTATGATTGCATGAAACTTTTATTTGCACTATGCCAAATCTGAAAGCTTAATATTGTCGCATAGTAAGTGTTACTAGAGATGAGGTTTGAATTATGTAAGATTTGAGGTTTTCACGGCGGTGACACCACATATACACGGTGCCAAATCCCAGAAGACTGCTTTCTTCGAGATTTGAATTGTTAATTGGAACTATTAGACACACTCATAACTACAAATAACTATGACGGTCTCACTGAGTCACACACTCCAAAGATTGCTATAACTACAGCATACACAAAGTCTTCTGAGTCTTCACTAGGTGTTGCTTGGTAGTGGCTTCCAACACTGGACTTTCGCCTTCCACTGGGTTCCCAAACTGTCCCTGTCCTCAGCTACCAGCTTCTCACTTCTCACAATTGTAACTCTCAACTAACTCAACCAACAACTGAACTACTAGTCCTTTTTTATATAGCCCTGGCAACAGACCACACAGCAAATGTCTCTTCCCTTATTGTGTAGTTTCTCTTTGCAGGAAAACAGTATATCCACAGAACTGCTCCTTAGCAATGGCTGTTGCACTGTTGCCTGTTTACACAGCTGACACATGGTAATGGGTCTACATGTCACATTTTTCCTTCCTTAAGGCTGTTCGTCCTTAGTAGCCTAGGGCATAATGCCACTCTTTTTTTTTCCCAGTCAATGCAGGCAAAACTTCCAAGAGTGGCCACAGCTGTCACATCTCTCGCACTTTAGCTGTAGTAGTCTATTCTTTCACTTGGGTGGTGGCCGGCTCCTCCACAATGTCTTGACACTCGTTTTTCAAATCCTGATGGAAGACTCTGTTGCTAGCTTGAAGACCTCAAGCACTGTGGTTTTTTCTTGGCCTTGTTGACATTTCCCTTTCTTCCCAGACACGGCTACTGTTTTTAGGCCTTGGTCCCTTATGTCATCATTGCATTCTGGCTGTGTCCATGATCTCTTCCCGAACATCTGTCCTTTAGGAGCTCCCCATACACCATTATCCCTAAAGCACCTTTTCCATGGGTTCCAGTATTCCATGGCTGATTGCTGGTCCCCAGATCAGTCCTCTAGTACTCCACTAATCTCCACTGTGGCCCGTTCACTAGGGACTTCATGATACTCTGCTGCAGCCGCCATTTCTTCTGGATTTGCCTCCAAATCCGTGGCCTTCACTCCTAGGGCACTCTTAATTATGGCTTCAGTTTCTTCCTGGCCTCTGTCATTCCTAGACAGGCCTCCGTTGTTTCTCGGCAGTCCTGTGTTCCTTTGAGCAAGATATCCAGTCGATAGCACCTATTCAGGTTTTCGTTTCTGCATGACTGGTTCACGTATTTTCTCAAAGGACCTCAAACTTCTCGCTATTAACCACTATCTTGTCTTTCATCTTGGTCAGCTTTCATCTCCTTTAGATTGGCTTCTGTCTTGGATTAGTTGGTTCTTATTTCAGCCTTCTTTTTGGCCGGTAGGTATGCCATCGTTTGTTCCATCTCCATTGTATGGTGGTATAACAATCCAGTATTGCCTGTTGTAAGGCCACTACTTCTACAGGACAACACAAATGCAGACAGACGTCCATTCAAAACCACGACGCCAGTGCTTGAGTAGGTGTAGACAATTCATGCTTTAGACCGTGCAGTCATTGTGGTCGGCAGAAACGGATCTAGTTTCTGAAACATGTACCCCAGACAATATGCAGTGTCCAACAAAATGTGCATAATATATTGAGTATTATGTTGAAAGACTACAAATTCAGAATGTACTGCTGCAAATTGTTCAGCTCATGTTTGTCTGCACCATGAATCCTTGTCAGTATGTGTTAGCTTGTGTGTTGCAGTTGACTGTTTAAGAATCATGCATTTACAATGTATGCTTGGTTGGCCCAGCTAGTGGAGGGAAGAATGAAAAATGCACATACTTTTTTTTTTCAGTTCACACATTTGTTGCACCCAAATCTCCTAATTCTAATGGCTGTGAACATAATGTTTGTAATCTAGGTATAGTAGTAGCACATTCTGGTGTTAAAGGGAGAATGAGATTAATTTGGTCTCTTCCTCCTGTTAGAACTTGTTATATCCCCAGCAGGAGGAGATTGTGAAGGACATCACAAGACAGGGGAGGTGCAAGAAACATGCAAGCTTGGTGTACAGTTATCTCTTTATATGATAGTACTTAGTTATGTAATCCTTCAGGAAATTAAAAACGTAATAATAAATGGAAATGAATATGCCTGCATAATTAGCAAACTAAATAATTCATATACATATAATAGGGAGTATAATATACACTATGTGAAATTCAGGAACTTCTGTCACATACAGTGAAGTCTGCTCAGACAGTCAGCCATGTGAATATCGAGTTAGTGCCTGATATCTCAGAGACTGTCTCTGTCTGCATTATCAGAGGTTTATGTGATGAGTGTTATATTTGCATGCTTTGTTTGTAAGCAAAGTAAGCTATTGGTTGTCTCAACAAATACCACAGAGGAAACAGTGGGCAGAGGCAATGGTGCCCTATCCCAGCATTGGCCATACAGGGAACAGAATGTGAATATGACACTCATCACATCCGCCCCCAATGATGGAGACAGAGACAGGCTCTCAAACATCAGACACTATCTCCACAATGACATGGCTGATTTCCAGAGAATATTTAGTTATATACCATCACTGAAAGCATCAAATCATATGATAAATGATATGAACTCCATCCCAAGTGCAAACAATATATTATATGTCCTTGATCTTGCTCTCCTTTACACTACATGTTTCGGCCTCAAACAGCCATCATCAGGTGTATACACTCACGTTGCTGTTACACTGCACTTAGTTTAAAATTTAACATTTAGAAACACATTGTTCCTTTTGTTGTTATTATCAACATCTACTTCGCTGATATCTGTCTGGTTTATAGATTATTTTGGTTGCACATGTGGGCACTTATAAAATCTTTAGTTCTAATTTTAAAACCCTTAAAATTTAGAGAAAAATTTATTGCATCCATTGTCCTCCTGGTTGATTGTATCCTTCCATCTCCCTCTGGTCTTTTCAGGTTCCTTGTCTCATTTTGCATCCAGTCTCTCACTTTTCACATAAATCTGTAATCAGTCAACGTATCCATTCCATTTGGTTGTGTCATTAATCCATTTATTCTTGTATCTTTTTTTATTTCCTCATAAGTATGAAGTAACTATAATAATTCCTGTTAGAAGACTGTGACCACTTCCTATTTTTGCAGAAGATAATACTCTTGTATATTCCTTTCATTAATTTTATCTGTTATTTCTTGGGGTCCCTTGAATTTCAAATTGATATGCTTTTGTGGTGGTACATAGGAGTGTACAGTAGCATCAGACTACATCAGTTACTAGAGAGGAAACCTTTTTGAACAAAAATAGTCGATGTGTAAAAGTGTATTAAAATGCCTTGAAAATGCAAGGCATCTCAAGCATAATGAGTACAAAATGGGAGGATTATCTTTCTCCCATGGGGCATGGGTGATATAGCTACCTCTGGTAGCCCATCTGCCCATAGCTGAATTCCAACAACTTCACACAATATTTTATTCAGAAGGTGCTCGGTTCAAACCTCCACGGGGACAACCAGTTATCTGCACTGTGGTTTTCAATGGCTCTCCTCCCTCCAGCAAATGTTCGGATAGTAGCATGATTAGGCCACATTACTCCCATATCCTCTCCAGTTCATCAGCCATTGTCGTCCAGGTACGAGAAACAGAAGTTGAGTCCCCGCAGAATATCGTCCATGAAGTGCTGGAAAGTGTGGGCAGCATTGCGCAGGCTGAAGGACATGAAGGGGAACTCGAATAGGCCGAATGGAGTGGTAATGGCCGTCTTCTTTATATCGTCGGGATGGACGAGAATTTTGTTGTAGGCTCTCACCAGGTCGATCTTAGCGAAGATGAAACAACCGATGAGCTGGTGAGAGTAGTCATGAATATGATGGATGGGGTAGCGGTTGGTGATGGTCCATGCATTTAGCGCTCTGTATTCTCCGCAGGGGCGCCAACCGTTGTCCTTGGGCACGATGTGCAGCCCAGAACACCAGGAACTCTTGGAGCGGCGAGCTTTGCCGTCCCGTAACATGGCATCGAACTTGGCTTTGGCGATATCGAGCCGGTCCGGTGCCAGTTGCCGTGGTCGGCAGGTGACATGCGGGCCAGGTACCATACGGATGTGGTGGACGGTGTTGTGGCGCACCTCACACTGGACTCCGGCTGGGCGAGTGAGGTCCGGGGCTGTCTACCGGTGTGTCGTTGCTGATGGTCTTCACGCTTGGGATATGTGCGCTGGCTGTTCTGGCCGAAGCAGACGACATGACTCCGTCCAGTAAACGATTGTTCCGGCAGTCCACCAGGAGGCCGAAGTGAGAGAGGAAATCCACGCTGATGATGGGTTGCGTGACGTCGGCCAGCACACACCGCCCCGTGAGATCTGGGCGTAGACCCAAGTTGAGACTAAGAGGCAACCATCCATATGTGTGGATGGTAGTGCCATTAGCCGCACACAGGTCATAGTTGGCGCCTTCCTCACGTCGCAGAACAAGCCTGCGGGGGTACACGCAGAGGTCTGAACTCGTGTTCACCAGGAACTGCTGTTTACTGACTGTCCGCGATGAAGAGGCAGCCTGTCGTAGAGCAGACATGTGCCGCCGGTGATGTCTGCTGCGTTGGTTTCCTCTCCTGGCGGCGAGAGCAGGGCTGAGTACACTTTTGTGCCTGGGCTCCGTAGCGGCGATGGTACCAGCAGGGGGTGGATGCGGTGTGGCCTCGGGAGGGGAATCTGTTGCCTGGGCGGTGGTTCCTGGAGCCGGGACGGGGATTTCTGGAGTTCGGGCAGGGCTTCCTGGAGCTGAGGTGAGTGTCCCTGGAGCTGGTGCGAAGACGGTTCTGCTCAGCGCCGAGTGCTGCTACCTGGCGGGAGAGGTCCTCAATCCCCTGAGGAAGTGCGGTGCTGTCGGGAATTGGACGAACACTCTCTAGCGTCGGCTGGGATGCGACCTCGTAGATGCGGTCCGCACAGCGAGCTGCGGTGTCCAAGCTACACTAGGGCTGGCCGACGAGAATGGCCTGAATGTTGGGGGGTAGCCGGCTGGAGCAGATGGTGTAGAGGAAGTCTTCTGGCAAGTCTGGGGCGAGGTTCCTGAGGTACCTCAGAAACTGGGATGGCTTGTGGTCTCCCATCTCAAGCGTAAGGAGCTGGCGGATGCGCTGTTCTCGAGGGAGACAGCCGCCTCATCAGCCCTGTCAGTGTGGTGTAAGGGTCCTGTGCGGGCGGAGAGGTGATGATATCCTAATTCTGCGGCGTGACACTGGTCCAGCTGCGAGATGACGTGGTAGAACTTCGTCGTCTCGCTGCTGATGCCGGCCAAGAAGAACTGCGCCTCGGCTTGGGCGAACCACAGCGGGCCACACGGCCACTCTGGATACCTCATCTAATAGTGAATTCTCTGCAGCCTCCATGCCACGTCGGGGTCACCAATGTGGGATATCGATACTCGCTGAGACAACCACTTGAAAGCATAATAATAGATGTTTGTTTCGCTTAGAATGGGTATCACAGACGAGCTGGGAGCATGCCCGGATGATGCCGGCGAAGACTCCTTTCATAGCGGTTAACCTGGTATAGTGATGTTGCTGAGTAGAGGCCCCAGAAAGGACCGTTTTGTCTGAGTCTTCTTTGTACCGATCTAGCAAGCGGCGTTCTTCCCTTGCTGCAGCGGTGAGTCTGGCTGGCAGGCAGAGTCAGCTGCCTACGGTGTGTGCGCTGGCGGAGCCGGTGCGGTGCAACTGTGTTGCCCTCTTGATGGCAGTGTAACAGCGACTGATGTGACTGATGCAAGATTGATGGTAGCCCAAAGTCACATTGCGACTGACTGCCAGTCAGTCTTAGTATCGAGCCCAGTCTGGGGCTCATGACCAGATACGAGGGTTGGAACTTTAATAGTGTTGTAGAGACACCATGCAACGAAACCAAATAATGTCGCTTATACCACACGTCAGTTACATACCTACCTTACTTCAGAGCAAATGGGCTCCCCTTTCCCACATCACACGCATGCGCAGTGACGAGAAGAACAGAGCCTCGTGTTAGGTTGCGGTCTAATGTAGTGTTGTCACGATGTTTTCGAAACAGGAACAACGGAGTTGGATAAAGATTGAATGTGCCAGAGGCCGTACAGCACGACAGTGTCATCAAGGTCTTCAAGAGGCTTGCGAGGAATCTGCATTGCTTTACAGAACAGTGGCAAGGTGGGTAAAAGCCTTCAATGAGGGACGCCAAAATGTGGCACACATGCGTCGGCCAGGTCGTCCTAGTGTCAGTGAAAAAGTTTATGCTCTTTCCGCGATACTGGAGAGTGATAGACGCCATACGATTCGTGAGCTGGCCCGAGAGACAGGATTAGCGCATACGACTGCTTCACATTCTGAAGGAACGCCTGGGCATGAGAAAAATTGCATCACGATGGGTTCCGCATGATTTGATGGAAATGCAGAAGTGGCTACAATACGACGCTGTTCGTAACAACTTTGAGCGCTACGAGCGCGAAGGAGAGGCTTTTTTACGCCGTATCATTACGCTGGATGAGACATGGACCAAATCGTACTCGTACGAGTCACAAATGAAACGCCAATCGAACGAATGGCGTAATTACGGGTCACCACGAAAATAAAAAAGTTCATCAGAACCCCAGAATGTGAAAGTTATGGCGATTCTCGTGTACGACTGTGATGGTGTTATCCTAATGCATACCGTTCCCCGACAGCAGACCGTCAATGCGCAGTATTACTGTTCACTTTTGGAACACAACCTGCGACCAGCTTTGAGAAAGAAGCGGCGACACTTTCTGCAGAACCTACCCATCACTTTGCAAGACAATGCTTGGCCGCATGCAGCGCAAGCTGTGGCTGATTTGTTCGATCGATGGGGCTGGGAAGTGCTGTACCATCCACCATACTCCCCGGACTTAAGCCCTTGTGACTTCGACTTGATTCCTAAGATGAAGGAACCACTTCATGGCATTCGCTTCAGAACTGTTCCAGAGATTCTTCAGGCAGCATACCGCTCCATTCGAGCTATCAACACAACAGACACTGCTAAAGGTATCCTATGACTTCCACATCGCTGGCAACGGGTTGTACACAATGCTGGTGACAACACTAAAGGACAGTAAAACTTCGAAACATGCATCTATTTTGTATTAGTTGTAAATAAATAGTTGTCACTATTAACGTTCCAACCCTCGTAAATGCAGCTATACTGCAACTACATAGCAATTCATGATTTGTCGCGCTGTGAGGTATTGAACTAATTTTAATATGAAAAAATAGGCCCTACGATATACTGATATGAGACATAATTATGTTCTTGTCAGTCAGAAAACACCGCTTCCAACAGCTCCTCTGTTGTTGCGTGCTGATTCACTGCCGTGGGAACCTGTTTGTTTGCGATCGCTACCTAGTAACAGGCCTACACGCCACAATGTCATGGCACGTGAGCCAATCAAAACGGCGTACTTCATACATCGCTCCCTCCTATTGTCGCTATGTAACTGCTCCATAAACAGGTTTCCACCGCAACCAATACACGCAACAACAGAGGAATTTTCTGAAGCGTCGTTTTCTATGCTGTCCGTGATATATCAAGAAAAGTAGGCGATCAGTTGTTCTGTATAATGGTTCATCGTTCTAAAAAACTGGTACGTAAAACAAAACACGGACGTC